AAGCTGAAAGCAGTCTGTTCCTCCCAACATCTCCTCTCAAGATAAACCAGAAGCTATGATTTAAAACCTATGTATTAATTCACAAAGGTAACCCTCAAATATAAAGATGGTCATCTTGTTAAATGAGTATTAAACTCACCCATAACATTGAACGGGAATCCTGCTCAACTTTTAAAATACCTCAGAGCTTTTAAGTTATAAAGATAATCAAGAGTAATGAGAGAAAGAGAGACAGAGAAATTAGTAGGGAAAAGAGAAAATTCAAGGGGCACAAGACAGAGAATTTGGCTAAGAATAGAAAACAAGGCAATGCCAAAAGAAAAGCAGTAAAATTAATTTTGTGTCCCCAAACATATTACCAGTGTAATTTGAATAAAAGGCAATAACCATTCAATTTACAGCAAGTTAAAGCATACCCAACGAAATATGATGATGATACACTTCCTCCCCTATTAAATATATAATAAGGACATTTATGCATGATTCTTGGTTACTCTGTAATGGAATTCTGGGATACTTTCACTAATTCTTCTCTCTGAAAAAAAAATCTGTATTTAGTACAAGCAATGGAAAAAATATAAAAACATTGTGGATGGAATTTTTCTTAAAAAAACAAGTTCAGTCTGTAGGTTTTTTGGTTTGTTCATTCTTTACAAACGATCGTGGTTTGTTTTTCTAACTCAGAAGGTAAGAGCTGTTTTCTTTTGCTTTGGTCCATTACAGATTCTATTTTAAGGCTCAGATCACATACATTTTGTGAGACAGTAGTTATATAATGGGATTACCTTTAAAACTGTGACAAACTATTTGAATTAAAGATTTCTGTGTTCATTATCTACAGTAAATGTAGGATGTAAAGCTTCCAGTGTTTGACATTTCTACTTATAAACAAATAAAAACAATTATGTTTTACTTCAGATATTCTGGAGACTTGAGCTGTTTTTGTCTTGAATGCTGCTTTTGAAATCATCACTGAGCACAACAGGGCTTCACAGGCAGCTGCGACCTTAATGTTGGCACAGGGCTCAGGACTCACTGACCCACGGATTTCTAAAGAGTCTGCTGACAGGCACCAAATCAAGATGCAGATACTGAAACATAGTATAATTACAATAACTCTCTCATTAAGAACCTAATATATACAAAGTCCTGACTTGATCCCTTCCAGAAGTCTGCCTAGAAAAGTTTGATTTGCACCTTATGTGAAAAAACTAATCCCAAACACAAATGTAGGAAATTAGAATAGATATCACCAAACCATTTTCTTCACACTGTCCTACAGTGAGAAACAGAACGTAGTCAGTGGGCAAACAATACTCTGTGGAATTCAGAAAACAAAATTAAGCATTCGAGAAACTGCACCATTGTAGGACAGCCGTATTTCTTAAGTAGTTGTGTTCCTCTTGGCAAACACTTCAGTTTCAGTCCTGACAGAGCTTCAAAATCACTCAGTGGACTTACAATAAAAATGAACATCAAAAAAAGGGGAAAACAACAAAAACCCATGTCCTGTTAACTACCAATTTTGTACATTAAGACCCTAGCAGATAATCCAGTCCAGGCTTCTACAAAGAGTCCACGTAATTTCTGTGGCACTTACTATACTTAAGCTAAGCAGCAAGTCACATGGATGTGACTGTCTTATGTGTGGGATATATGGCTGTGTCTGTGTGGACGTGACACACACGGATCTACTGTGTTCCCTCCTGCGTTCTGCTGCAATCATAGCAGGGAAAATAAATTATCCTATTAACATGTATCTTTCTTTAACATTTTATTTATGCAGTAACTCTGAAACTAGAAATCTACAAAGGAACGAAATAGAAGGATCTTTCTAAACTGGCGAGGTAAGGCTAGAAAGAGCAATTGGGAATCAAAGGTAAGTTACGTGAGATCATGTGTATGACACACTGAAAGGAGTCCAAAAAGGTATCCATCATCAATACGCTAATATAAAAAGACAAAAACGAGAAAACAAAAAAAAAATCAGCATCTTCTTGCTATGAAGCCATAAGATACTAAGAGACTGAGCACCAAAATGGTTCTTTACATATTCCTTCCCTTTTAAGCTGCAAATTATTTATTATTATATTCACACCTTTAAAAACGATGTGCTAGTCAAGATTTAAAGTAAGCTTTCTTTGTGCCAAATTACATTTGCCACTGCTTTGAAGAACAGGTTAAAATTAGTATTTATAAATTACATAACAATAATCAGATACAATCCACATATATAAAAAGGGCTGGTTTATTGTAGTTCAAATACATAAACTGAACATTCAAACATCTTAAAATTAAACTTTAGAAACAAAAATTTAACATTCAAACAAGAGTATACTTTACAGGGAACACCCAAGAAAGGTAATTTGTTGTCTAATCCAGAATATTGGTAAAGATCACTTAATGGTGAATAAAGTGTATTTAACCAGCAGTCCTAGTCTGACCAACATGTTAGTTATGACCGTGCTTCCATACCTGAGAAGAATTACTAAATAAATCTTCTCTTAGGCTAAACAACAAGACGTGGCCTATAATCCAAAGGGATAATCAAAGCACATAAGTGAACAAATAAAACGAAAGTGTTCTTTAGAGACAAAGGTAAAAGTATGTCCATTATAATAATCTTAGCCTCTGGAAGATAAGAATTCAATTTTCAGTGTTTTTTCTTTTACCCGCTTTAAGAAACAAAATCAAAACAAAACAAACTCCAACTTAGGTTTTTCTGGAGTCTGTGGTACTTGCATCTTGCAAGTTCAAACCACAAACGCTCTTACGTCTTGCATGTGTAACACTGCTAGAAAGAACGTCACCAAAGGTCACTGATTTCCACACCTCATAAAAGGATGATTTTTAGCTTCAAGATTTTAGATTTACTAGACAGCCTACGTTTGAGTATGTATGTCAGTCATGCCACACAAAGAAAAGCATAAATATTTCCAAAGTGTTCTCTGTTCAGAAACTGTTCACGAATGCTTCTCCGTCTGTTCATCAGATGGTTTTGCAATAGTTTGACTAATGCACATACATGTAAAAACCTGAAAATTGGCTCATGCAAGCGTTTTGAATTAACAGATACCCCTGTGGCAGAGTATTCAGAATTATTTTGTTGACCGTCTCGTAGGCTCTGACGCTGTGGGAGGCGGGGGTGGACCCCGGCGATCCAGGTCATCCACGTAGGCCACAATCAGTTTACGCCTCTCCTCGGGCACACAGTCTAGTACTAGATACCGTTTGTCATTCTGCAAAATTTTTTCTACATCTTTCAGGTGCTGATCCGATTCCTGGATTAGCTTTTTGGATCTGAAATAAGAAAAGACAGCCAAGAATTACTGACTGCTGTTCCTAGGTCTTTCAGAAATGAGCTGGAAATGTCCATCTAGTTCCTAATTGTGTTTTCATTTTTTTTTAAAGAAAAATTTCACTGCAGTGGTCACCTTTGTAAGTCGCCTCAGCAAAGACTCCAAGGAGTGAAAGGGCCTCAGAAGCTGAATTACCCTCCCACCCCTACTGGCGGTCCCTCCAGATCAGGGCTGAGGGTGGGTGGGTAAATCTTGCCCGTGCTGTACCTGTTCTGTGGATGAACAGAGGACTTCAGTCTGCGGGGCTGCCAATCCCAGCATCTTTCACAAGCTTTCACTTTCACATCTTTCACTAAATTAACTATAAAAATGTAGAAAGAAGTCTTACTTCACATCTAATTTAAAAGCCCAAGCTGATGCAAAACATTAAGGATCCTGACCAAAAAATCCAATGACAAAATACCTAAAAACCACACCCTCAGCACTATCTAGCCTCCCGTGCACATACCCTTTGTTAAGATGTTTCCAATTTTTCTTTTAAAGGAAGAAAAGCTGGAGCATGAAACAAAAATGATTCCTGCCACTGACCGCTAAGCAAAGTGAAACTGTTTTCCTGATGACAGCTTGCTGGGGGGAGGGAACTCCTGGGTATGTTACAGAGAAACCTTGTTTTAAAGCTCTGATTTTATCATTTAAAATTTTAATTTAAAAGTATCCAGCAAACTGCTTTCCTCTGAGGAAAAAATGTTTTTGCTGAGCTTAATTTAAGTAAGATGATTTCAAGCTTGAGAAGGAACACTGAACAGTCTTCAGAGGAGGCAAAGAAAAATGAAAGTGAAGGATTATTTTAAAAAGTCTTCATGAAATATAACTCATATTTGAGAATACTTCTAAAAAAGCAGTGAAGTAAAAATAAAAGTATGTTTAAAAAACTGGATGGGTGGGTAACACAAAATAAGAATTAACATCTGGGCCCTTTCTTTAAAAAAAAAAGAAAAGAAAAAAAGGTAAGGTAGATATGGGTTATTTTCAGCCTGTGATAAAAGTTGGCTTCTTCTTATTCCTAAAAAATTAATAATGTCAACATGTGTGTGAATGCAAGGTATGCTTTGGCCATCAGAGTAAAGACTAGTAAAGACAATGACTGCCGATATGAAACATTTCATTGCACACACCTATATGTTATAAATTTGGTCTCTTTCAAAAGCGTCCTGAAGTCAGCTTTGGCTGTGATGTATTTGTCTCTGATGTATTCTTCGAATTCTCTTTGTTTTTTCTGCAAAAAGACAATAAGGTTAGGGGAAAAAAAAATTCCACTAATTCCAAAGTTTGTATCAATTATTTATTAAACCAGTAATTTATAAGTCACAACATAAAATAATTCAAAAGAAAAAAGTAGTAAGGTATGTTTTGTTCATATAACATTCATTAAAATGCAAAATCTGCAATGTATGTTTTTAAGACAAGAAGCAAGAATGAGAAACCATATAATACATTAGTAGTAGCTAAAACTTGAGGTCTTGCTACGTGCTACACTGTGCAGAAGCTTTTATAAGGATGTTTCCTTTAATCTTCGTAACAACCTCAAGTGGTAGACATTCTTAAAAATAAGGATATTTACGGTTAAACATGCATTCTTACAGATTATATCTTCAAGCACAAAGATAATAATGTGGTATATATAATTTATAACTCTCAGAATTTTAATAAGCTAGTTATATTGAGCTTTGCGCTCAGTAAGGGAGCTTAGTGATACTGGAATAGCAACGACAGGTACAAACTCTGAGTTTTTTGTTTTTTTAAAAAGACCTTATTATCAGTTCTGAACAATCAGAAAAGTCTGTAAGAGACTGAAACTGGGTCTCTCAGCTATCAGTCTACCAGTCTTTCCCAACCATGTATATTCTGTGGTCTGTGCATCTAAAATTCAAACTAACGGAGTATGAGAGGAAAGAATGATAGATCTATGGATATTTAGACTCTAAACCTAGAGGAAAAAACCAGGACAGGAGAACGATGGGAAGAAGGAACATATGGAAGGCTGAGGAATAAAATGGACTGGAGTAAGCTACACTTTCCTTGACATCAATCGCTATTTCAGACCTGTGGTGAGTTCTTTTCCTACACAGGAGTCAGAAGAGGGCTCAGGGTCTACAAACCTCACACCTCTGAGGTCGCCCCACCCCAAAGTCTCTGGAGCATACAAGAACTAGAGATCACATTATGTTGTTCTGCTAGCATGGCTTTAAAAGTCAAGCACTTCGGTAGCATGCCATCAACTGACAGCCTCAGGACAGCTATCTGGTGGGACCTGAGTATACAATAAAAATGACAGCTTCACCAAATCTAGAAGATCCCCAAACACAGGCTTAACCCCAAGGATTAAATTAAAAAAAAATTTTTTTAAATGAAGGTACTGCAGCTAGAACCCAGGACCTCATGCATGCTAAGCATGCCCTCTACCACTGAGCTATACCCTACCCCGCCAAGGATTACATTTTTAAAGCTTCTATTGTGCTGTCTTGTTAATATATCATGCCTGGAAGAAAATACAAACTTACAATTCAGATTTATTTCTTACGTGCTTAAAGGTTATTCACATAAAACCATCAACTTCATTTAAGTCAAGATACTAGTGTTGCTGATTTAGCATCCAAATAATATTTACAAACTGACAGTAAATCTCAGACAAAAATCTTCTTACCCTGTCACTGGAGGAGAACTTAATGCACCGAGGATCTTCCTTAATGATTTTTTTTACTTCTTTCCACGTGGACGTTAAGGTAATCTTTGAAAGACAAGTGAATAAAACACATAAATACAACTTGCTTTTATTGAGGGAGTCAAACCGCAGCACATATGGTACATAATATTACACACTGACCTGCAATCTCTTGTAATGCCCAAGCGTAACTGGACTAGTTAGGGACAGGGAAGCAGCTTTAATGCCATTTCTTTTTGTTGGCTTGCCATAAGACTTATTTTCATGGCCATACTTTCAAGGTGGCCTAAGACAATCACCTGCAAACCCTGTATCTCATGGGCAACATCATAACTTCTGAAGAAACCATCACCAAAAAGAGATCAGATAAACAGGAGCAAAACCTGAACAACAGAGTGTAAAAACTGCCAAATAAGGGGGCCATGGTACCAAATTAAAGATGGAGGAAAAGAAGGAATCTATTAAATCTAGCATTAGGAGGCATCAATGATCACACGTAGCTAAGGACATTTTGAATTACTATGGGAGCATATAGGAATTCCAAAACTGCAAAAGGAAATAATTTCTAAAGAGTAAAAGTACTATCAACATTTTGCATAAAAAAAAAAATCAGAGAAGAAAGTGTCATAAACCCCATGGATTCCACTAATAGCTCTAAAGACCATGACACTAAAAGTTGTATCAATGTTTTACATTTGGGAACTATTAATGAAGATTCATCTAGATTAAAACAGAAAATTAAGAAACACTTACCGCAGAAGTTTCATCCAGAAGTTGCCTAAAGTGCTCCCTCTTCTTTTTGGTAAGTGCTTCAATGTGTTCATTAAAAAGCTTCTCTTTCTCCTCTCTTTCCAACAAGGATCCAGATTCCCAGCGGTGATCTTTCCGAAGAGTCCTCCGCGTATCAGACCATGACACATCTGAAGAACGTACCTAAAAATAGAGAACTGTATCTATCACCAGACTTTTCTTTTCATATTTCAACAGAAGACTCATTTATTTGGTTCAGGAGTCATATACATTTAATAAAGAAGCTTCTGGTAACTCCACCTTAGTCAAGAAGTCACTGAAAATTTGCCTCTTGAAGCCAGAAATCTGACCTCCCAGAGCTCACCCAACCAATGCAGTCTGGGTTAGAGGTGGGAAGGATGCAGAGAAGATACCTCCCATCATCTGTGGTCCCTAAGAACGTCAACTACTTGGGTACTCTAGGAGCATTTTACCAACTTCTGCTAAGAGAAATGGGTACGAGTAAGAGAAAATACAATGTCTTATTGTAGCACAAGCAGCTCACCAAAAAAATTTAAAAATTCCTGAGCTCAAATTGGGGCTTATCAACTACATACTGGCAGTGACACTTCCACACATAAGCAGGGATTAACATCACTAAGAAGACAAGATAACAGACCACATGACAGGTCTGGCTGGTTCACCAACCAACAGAAAGGTACGCTTCATGGAGGATAATGGCATTACAAGTTAAGTCACACTGCTGCGAACACTAAGAAACATGGCATGCTGCAAAGACAGAAAAGTAAGAAAGAAGAAAAATATAAAAAACATTTATTTAACCAGCATTTATCAAGCATCTAAAAACATGTCAGGTAAACACTGAGCTTGGCCCTGGAAATACAAAGTAAGTTAAGACACTATCCCTTCCTTCAAAGGGCTTGCTGTTTTTAGAGAAGAAAGGCATGTAAGCAAATAACTACAGTAACATGCAGTAAGTGCTGTAGGGGTATATGCTGAGCACAGGGTGGTAAATGGAACAGTGAGGTCAAATCTGCCTAGATTGGTTGGGATCAGCCTCAAAGAAGAGGTATTTGAGTGTGCTCTTGAAGAATGACAAAGTCTGCCACTGCAACGGGAAGTTTAAAGCTTTAGAGGTGGAGGGACTGGCATGTGTAACGGCACAATTCATTAAATGTAAGCATGGATCATTAAGGGTTAAGTTCAGCAAGACTAGTGTCTAGGGGGCAAGAGAGGAAACCTAAGGGAGTAAAGTCATATGAAGGCAAGGGGGGGGTCAAAGAATGAGCAGTCTTCCATACTATGCTAAGGAGACTGAACAGAGGGAAGTGCCAGGAGTAGGGAAAACCTTCCCCCTCTGCAAGCAGCAGGGAGAGTTACAAAATCATCAGATATGCCTTTTACAAAGACTTCTATGACTGCAACAAAGAGGATGAATCTGGGGCAAGTAGAGGCAGGAGGAAAAAACAGGGAACTACAGTATTTGTCCAGAGAACAAGAAAGAGGTCACTGAAAACAGATCAGCAGAAGCAAGGGAAGAAATCAGAAGAAGCAAAACGAGTGATGAGAAGAGTGATAGGAGAACAGGGACAAAGAGAAGGGGAAAATGCAAGAACAGTAGACTGGTCTGGGGCATTTACTTCAGGGACAAAAAAACCCTACATACCTCAATCAACTCTGGGTAATACAGAAGGATTTTAAAGAAAATTCCAGGTATCTCCTGTGGTCAGTACACTTCCAGTCCTATATCTCATACCATCTACATGTGTAATAATTGATCATCACAATGAGGACACTAAATTATCAAGAAAAAGGTTAAATTATGTTCAGCACATTTATTTATTACAATGGCATGTTAGCGTGTGATAATTTATGATGACCTCCATCAAGAATAAAAATAAAGCTTTGAAAGTGAAAGACTGTGTTTTTATATATACAAAACATCAAACTTCAAAAAATATTAATGGTGCTAATACCAGGTACTCAATTTTAGAATATTTTATAGACACTAAATTGTATCTCTCAGAGGCAGTTTAAAGAATATTAAAATGCCCACTAATGAGGTAATATAACAGATTTCCAATACCCAGTACTTCAGAGGAAAAAGGCAAGAGAATAATGTATACCATATCAGACAGAAGAGCCTTGAAATTCTGGATAGCTTCTTCTCGTTTGTGTTGCTCTCTCTCTCGATCTATTTCTTTTGTTTGTTCTGAACGAGCCTTTTGAACCTCTCTTTCTCGTTCTCGAAGGCTTGCCTCAATGCGGGCTTGCCTTTCAAGCTCCTTTTCTTTTTCTGAGTCTAAATTCTGTAAAAGTGAAATAACATTAACTTTCTTACCAACTCCACCAAAATATGCCTCCACATGACAACCAGTTTGCCAAATACCAAATTTCAAACCTAGTTTTTACAAAGAATGTACCTAAACACTCATTTCAAATTCAATTACTAGAGATTCTATTAAAAATACCAACAAGAAAAATTCCAAACTCCAAACAGTCTCAAACAACCTTGTAACACAATTAAGAATTTTATTATTCCATGGTTATGGTACCAGTAAACACAATGGTTACCTTGGCTATTTTTTCAATGTACTGTTTGAAAAGGTCTTCTCTCATTGATGAACTGTCCACTGCTTTGTAACGAGGATCACTCTCTACTTTGTCTTTTACTTTGCTCCATCGAGACTGACTGTCCAAGTGATGATTAGATAATAGTTCAAAGAAATCCGACTTAATCTATATTTCCAAACAGGTGCAAGATGGGAAGAAAACAATATGCCATGAGAAATTAATCATATCTAGATATTTACAATTAGGAAAAAAGTTCACCTACCTTAAAAATGAGAATAACTTTTTGAATGCACTCAGAGCAGAATAAATTTTAGTAAGAGAATATCTGAATTTCTCTTTTATGAGAAATGTAAAAATTACTACACATAAAGGCCTTCATTTAAAATCTACCAAATTCAACATAAATCATTTTCTCCAATGAAATTATTCAAATATAGGAAAAAACATTTTTAGGTTGATTACAACTTCTGATTTCAGAACTGCCATGTTTTTATAAGGAATATGAATTTGCATTTATTTTTAGCTAAGATTCAGGCTTATAAACTGATGGTAAAATACTTTAACATAAAGATGGCAAGAATAATTTATTTTAAGAAGTAAATAAATAAAATTTTTGTTTGTTAAATAGAGAATTTAGAAATAGTTGAGTAAAAACAGTTTATTCATTACAAAGTTTAAACTATACTGCCAAATGTGTAAAAACAAACAAAAAATGCAGTAAACTTATATTTTGGCTTAAAGAGCAGTGTTTGTACCTTAATATATAAGGAAATTAGAATTTCTATGGTCATAATCATTATTTAAAAAAAACTACATTCAAATTATCTGTACTTTTTAGTCACTGAACAAGTATGCCTTTATCAGGACGTGTCAATGAAATAACATTCTTAACAAATCAAGTAATAAGTTAGTAACATTATATTAAAGTTATTAAGTAATATTAATCCTTCAGTGTCAACATTTACAGCACTTAGAAACTCTCTTCCAAACTGTATTTTTTATTTAATAGGGGAAGAAAAGGATAAATGAGGCCTTTGTTTTTATGCACCTTGAGGACCAGTTTTAAAATTTAGTCTCATTTAAATTTTTGTGTGCTCCTACCAAGGAAGACAACCAAGGTAGCTGAAGTCATTTCAACAAAGGATTCTACCACGTCAAGAACCTCTCCTCCACAGGGATTAGACATGCAGCCTTCTCACCAAGGGAATGAAAACAGAATTTTTGTGTGGGCACAAATAAATTAATCATTCCTTCTGTCTGTTCCAATCCTCTCACTTCTCCCTATAACCTCACTTCTCCTAATAGAAGATTAAAAGGGAAGTTGATGTCCTTTCTGGAAAACACTCATAAGGTTGTAAGAGACAGAGCTTCTGCATTAGAGAATTTTTTAAAAAGCAAGAGCTCATCAGCTGTGGATTTCTCCACTTACTGAGCCTGCCTCTTGACTGCTGGATTAATGAGAAATAACTCATAAATCCAGTTTTCTAGACAGTGATAAACTACTTGATGTAGTGATGTAATTTTTCTGTTCATCTGTCTGTTTTGTACCTGGCAAGATGAATACCAAATTCCTAGATGCACGGGATAACTGGAAGGCAAAATTTACAACATTTATCTTAAATAAAACATGTAAGCTGTATCAAATAGGAATCTTTCTAGGCCATAGGAATTTATATTAACTCAAAAATTTTTCGAACATTAGACATGAAGCCTTTAAAAATGTATGATGTGTAAACAAAGTGAACTTTAAATAAAATTAAACTTTAACTTCCTTTCACTAAGCTATTATCATGACAGGCTATAAATGGCTTACTGAAGCTTCTATTTGTATGAGAAGAATTATTTAACAACTGCATAAACGTCAAAAAAAAAAAGTCAATTACCATTAGGAGCAATTCAAGGCCCTACTGTCCCTATTTTCCTCTCTCCAAAAATGAAAGTATCTTACCAGGTAACTAAGCTGTTTAGTTAAAAAGGGAGAAATAGTTTCCTTAGCCAAATGTACTGCCAAGAAAAACTGTTCAGCAGCTAATTCAAAAGAAAGGGAAAAGAGAAAATGCCAACTTTGTAAGGTTAAGTCCCATATATACAACTTCAAATCTATTGTTCCAAATAATAAAATATTTGAGCCACAATTTAGTTAACAAAAAGTATAATAGTTATAATAATAATAATGTTATCATAAAATAAAAACTTGAGAGCAGCTGGTTTGTTAAACAGTCCAGTAAAAAGAGGCTTTTTTTATAAAATGGAAAATTACCAAAGCTACATAGAAATGATGGCTGTACCCTTTAGCTTAAAAATGGCTATTATGGGGGGGAAAAAGGATTTTACCAAAAGTCAGTAGCTTTCACAGGTTTTTAATTCAGCCTTTAAGCTTTTGCTATCCAGCCACTGATTCCATTATCTCAATGTTTCAAAGACCAGCTGAGGAAATTGTAAGAACAGAGAAACTCCAAAACACCAGCTTACTGCGGGGAGCGTATAGCTCAGCGGCAGGGTGCATGCTTAGCATGCCTGAGGTCCTGGGTTCAATCTCCAGTACTTCCATTAAAATAAATACGTAAATAAATAAACCTAATTACCTCCCCTCAAAACAACAACAAAAAGCAAAACAAAAAAACCGCACAAACACTAGCGTAAATTATTCAAATACAGCTAAAATGTCATTTTTACAAAATGTATTGACAATACACTTCAATCAGAATATATATATATACGGTGACAGTCATGAAGTGATAAAACTTCATTAACCAGATACTTGTCAAAATGTGAATAGAAAATATACTATATTTAAACCCTTACTTTAAAAATTTCTGCTTTCATAGCCTAGTTAGTAACTGATTTTGCATTCTTTAAAATGAGAAACTTTCATTTTAGTAATTTCCTCTTTTTTTTAACATAATGGTACAAAGCTAAACCTGTAATTAAGAGAATTAAAATTTTACAATCAAAAGAAAATAAAGCTGAACATACTAGGTTTATTTAGACATAATGTCTATTTAATTTCTTATTTTAATTAACATTCTGGGCACAACTCTCTTCACTTCAAAAGGAAAAACACTAAAAAAAATATAATGTACCAGAACTGTGGGAAGCTAAAGTCACCACAAAGAGAGATACCAGTTCTTTCCTCACTAGGGAATCCCATAAATACTTTGCATGTCAGTGACTGACAGCTGTCAGACTGAACTGATTTGCTAGCCGCACAGCACAAAATTGTGAAGTCTATCCACTTGTTATAAAACAGAATACATAAAACAGTTACCAAAAAGTGTTCAGAAAAAAAAAACATTAGTTAGAAATGCAAAGAGAAAAACATTCAATTTGTTTAAAAGTAATTATACAATATCAATCATTTATTTACTTGGCTTTCTTTAATCAAATAGGTTCTTACTAAAAAGCAGCTAAGAATTCATTAACACCATTCTAACTCAACAGAAAAAATGTTTACGTGGAACTCAATCCTGCCCATTTCCTCTGAGAAGCATAATAATTTACCCCAAAAACAATAAACTGAAATAATCCTGGAAAAATCCACCTTGAAGCACAATAAATCAGATAATCAGGACATTTCAGTTAGTTTTGACAAAAGTTATTTCACCTAACACTTGCTATTTTCAGTAAGAGAGGCTTCCTCCCAATCAGTGCTGTTACTTTCCTAACAACATTTCTTACAGAGTCTGTAATATCCTAACTGTCTGGAATAAGAGGCAATCTGAAATGTCAAGAATGATTAAGCTTCAGAAGTTCTTGTTCTCCATTCACAAAGCATACAGGGACACTAAGGAGAATGGCTGCATGTTTTGATGGTTCACGCACCACTGGTGCCGTCTCCCCGCCAGTCTGTCTCCCCGGTGGTGAGCTCCTCTCCAGTCCTGACACGGCAACCGAATGACATTTGGAATTCATTAATCTTTAATAGCTGACCTTTAATTCTGATACACAATAATTCATATGTAAGATATGTTTACTAAAAGATTAGAAAGTCACTAAAATGCTTTATTTTAGAGGGCAAAAAAGATAAAGAAGCTTTTTGAAAGTTAAATGTTACTACCTATAAAGAATCTTGAAATCTTAGCAGGCAGGCACCGGTGAACAGTCAGGCCTAACAACAACCAGTCTGGGTTAACTGGGCATCTCAGTATTAATAAAGTTTAAAGGAAACCTATGTAGTTTAGTGATGTTACTAAAATAAGCACTATGGAAGAAAAGTGACAGAATAATATATAAACAGTTGTGATTATTTATGTCCATGAATGAGATTGGAAACACAGTACCAGCTTAGTCCCTTCCCATTTGCACTTCCATCAGTCACATCACCAGAACTAAAACCATCTTACCTTCTCACCTCTGGTCTTCGAATCTTCTTTCTCTTTCTTCCTCGCAGCTGCCACAAATTCATTAAACAAGGCTTCTCGATCTTTCATCTTTTCAATTGCTTTGAATCTTGAATCTTTAGCATGCTTGGCTGCAAATTCACTAAAAGTAGCTCTGTAACAAAATGGCAAGTGTGCTAACTTTGGTAGAGCTATTTCTACTTGTAGAAATGTATAGCAGAAGATACCCCTTTCCCAGTAAGAATATATGCCAATGAGACAATGAGTCCCAACATCTGCCTAAATAGTGAACGAACTACTGAAAGGAGTAAAAAGGGCTAAAGAGTGAAAATGGGCTTAGAGATTTGTACACTAACAGCATGGTGTTAGGGGGATAAACATCAGAGAGCAAAGAATTTGTGTGCTTCAAGAGACTTAAGAGCTCATCTGTTTCCACCCTAAGATGAGGCTGAGTTTTGCTTCCAGCTGTGGCGGAATAACTTACTGAATTAGCTCTCTCTCTGTAAGCTATTATAAAACAGAACAAAATATACAGTGGACAACAGGTAGAGTAACATGGAGAAAATAAACCCCATGTCCCTATGCCTCAGGATAATTTCCCAAAATGCAAAGAGCCAGAGTCCAAGCAGAGTACAGTGGTCCTGATGAGCTAGAAGCATCAAAGATCAGAGCATGGGTACTAAAATGGCAGAGGGAGAAGCTATAGAGGGACCCTAAGAAGAATACCATATAAGAATTCCCCATGAGTAAGGAGACAGCCAAAGCCAAGCCATAAAACAGCAGAGAAAGGCCATTCCCTGTACCAAACTGCTACATGGTTAAGACCAAAAAAGAGAAACTAAACACTGAGTAGTGATGGAAAAAGAACATTATTAGGACTGTAAGGCCCACAAAAGACCCATAAGGGAGACAAAGTTGGAAGGTTGACAAAAAACTTCCACTTTCTGAGATCCACACTAACAACGCATAAAATCAAACCTAAAATTAAAGTGATCAGCCTATAATTGAACTGCCTGCTAAAACAAGAATCTACTCTTCATAGGAAAATAACAGATTTCAGTGTCTCTACCTGTCATCTACAATTTACAATATTCAATTAAAAATCACTAAACAAAAAAAAAAATGTGACCCCTAGAAAAAAATTAAAATAGAACTGACCAAAGATGGCAGATGCTGTTTAAGGTACACAAGTTCTTTTAAACTGTATTAGAAGAATTAAATAAAAATAGGATCAAAGAATTTAAAACATGGTCTTAACAGTTGAACAAATAAGGAGTTTCAGCAGAAATATGAAGAATTAATGTCTATGAGGGCTAAAGAGACTATAAAAAAGAAGTTTCCTCATGAACAAAAGATTATTTATAAAGCTTTCATATATTTAGATGTATTTCAAAATTTGAAGCTTTCATCTTGCATATAATAAGAATTCAACTCTTATAATAAACACTCTCATATTTAATGTTGTTAGAGGTGAAAAATAAAGCTTATTTTCCTCTTTAAAAAGAGTTATTTCAATACAAAAATAAAACACCTTCTCTTAGGTGTTAAACAAGATTAAATTACAACTTTAATTATAACAAAAAAACTGGCTGAACTGAAGATCAGGAGTCCCACTCACTGCTAACATTTGCTTATTTTAAGAATTGCTAACCAAAGCCAGATTCTAATAATCTTTTATATGCAACTGATATTACTCACAATACCTAGCTTCATTAATTCAACATTATTAGCAATAGGATATACTGCAAACCTGGTTTGAACAATGATTATGTAACCATAATAAAATTTCAAGGTAAATTAAAAATGCATACCCCAGAAAAGGGATTAAATGTTGTCCATTAAACCCATTTTCTTTTCATGATAAATTAAGTGTTTTATAATTTTAAGACAGAAAAAGCAATTATTACAGTGATTAAAGAATAAACTTTTAAAAAAATGTAATATCAATGTATAAAGTGAGAATTCAATTATTTTACATATTTATATTACTTAAAAGATATAAAATAATTTTTCTTAACCAGAACAGACTAAAATAAAGTTTTAGCATTAGATTCCCATAAAGATGTTTTCATGTGACTCACCATTTAAAAACATTGTAACAGGCACGGTATAAGAATCATAAAAGGGGAAGATTGGGAGGTGGATAACAGTTGATGGTAGGGGATGGGGAAGAGCATAGTGTCTAGGTGTTGAACATAAGAGGTATACCTAAAATATCCATTAAAAAAGAAAAAAGAAGAAACAGGCACTAAAGTTAAGTAATTCTCCTGGGTCATTCTTTTCCTTGGAATAAACTCCAGTGCTTTATAAACTCCACTGAAATATCTCAGTAGACAATATTTTTTCAACTTCAAGTTCTTCCTCTTTGTTTTCTGGTACTTACTAAAATTGGTCCTAACCTCTACGCTAGTGTTAAATGTGATTCAATTTAGCAATATGGCACAATGCCCCAAGCGTTAAGGCTCCAGTTACGTGCCTGACGGTTTATTTTCTAAAGTGACCTGAATAGTGCAGATCACTCCAAGAATTCTATCTTCCCCAAAAGAACATCTGTAGTGTACTGTGAAACAGCAAGATGTAATTTTTTTTAAATTGAAGTAGAGTCAATTACAATGTGTCAATTTTTGGTGTACAGCACAATAAGATTTAATTTTTAATGTGTCAAATCCACAAAAGAGAAATCTCGTTGGAATCAATTATTCTCAGACACATAAAGGCTTTAATAAATAGATATATGATGAGACTTCATCTACAAATCTTTCAACATGCATCTCCTGAGAGTAAATCCTTTTTCCTCTATAACCATAAAATCCAAGAAAATAACTAATTCTCTAATATCATGTAATACCAATTTACGTTCAAATTTCCTCAACTGCCTTCTAAGTCTTTTATAAGCCAGTTACAACTGTGCTGACTCATAACCTCACCCTTTTGATCAAGAAAAAGACTAAGACCCCCCAGAGAGTCTGAACCTCTATTACCATATGAAGAATACTACATTTTTCAGTCACAAATACTCTGAGCTTTATTTTCTGAAATCTGTATTAATGCCACAGTAGGTTTCTCTTCATATTCCAAATATAAAATTGTAATAACAAATACACTTCCTCAAACAATACTCTTTCCCATCTTCACTGACAAAAATAAATGTTTAAACAAGATAAATTTTTTTTTATAAAAAGTGCCATTTAACCCAGAGACTCCATGATTCTACCCTACAGTTTCAGAAATTCTCCATGGTCTGAGATATTTAAAACAACTTAATACCTTTACTGCCAAAACTAAGCTATAAATAGGAAGGTAATTCTCTCTGTCCAGACTATTCTGTGTAACACTGGACTGTAGTTAAAATTTCACATTCACTCAAGCAGTTGCTTATATTTTACTTTCCTTATCTGTAAAATAGCTAGGATATGAGTACCAAGTCATATTGTTTTGAAGACTGAATGAGACAAAACACACACACACATACATGCACTTTAATTGCATGCATGTATACATATATATATATGTAAGTTCATACATTTATCTCTAAGTGTAGCCAAAATATACAATAACTGATGCTCTCATTGTTATAATGCTAGGCACATAAGTTTAAAATGTCTCATTTTCTTCGGTCCATTACATATATTTGCTATATATTAATAATCAACTGAAATTGTCAGACAAAACAATAATTAGACACTTAGACATTTTTGAAATGAAAGTCCTTCACCACTTCAATTCAATCAAAATGTTCCTGCTCTGCAATTTATCATGCATAAAACTTAAAGAAAGGGATTTTTTTTTAAATCATTTACCAGTTTCTAGAAAAGGAACTTATTCTCAAAGAAGTTTTCAAAGTAAAGGTACCCTTCTTGAAAACCAATGCCTCATAGAGTACCAGGGATTCCTCTAAAGGAAATAAATTAAGACTAAAGATTCTTAGAAAGGGAGAAACCAATAATAAAGTTAGACATTTTTTATGTCCCAAAATCCAAAAGATAGATTAACTGATCTAGAAGAAAATACATTCATATTTTGATATTTGACAGTAATGAGCCATATACCTTGGATTAAATTTTGCTTCTTCCATCATTTTTTTGAAATCTTCCTTGGCTTGCATTATTTTGTTTTTCTTTTCCCTGCGTTCTTCCTCTGCCCTGGTCTTTACATACTGATCAAATACCTATCACAAAAAAAACAATTTGACAAGTTAAGTCTTTCATATAGGTAATCTAAACATCAAACTGTGGAATCTGCAAAAAAAATATTAAGTAACATCTTTGTCTGAACAATAATTGGAAAGGTGTATTAATTACAGATAACTCAACTATATGCAGGTCATCTCTAACAAGTCTCACTTTTTAAAGCTTCAGCTGACAGACTAACACAAGCACATGAGCCCTCTGTTTAGGTTCCCAAATTAGAAAAAAGTCAAAAGCCCCTTTAATTTTCATTTTCTCTGATTACAAATTGAACTGGTTTATTTTTACATTTTCGAGTAATATAAAACATATAGGAGAAATGAGTCTTTCCAAATCCCTTCCAGAAAAAAAATATTAACAATAGGAACCTATATTTCACATTCTAGAATATTTTCCCCCACTTAGTAATGTATAGTCAAGATGACAAACTGAACATGCACATCTATTTTCTGCTTTCTTCAAATGCCAAAAGGATTTTCTTTTATAAGAACAAGGAAATGGGAAAAAGAGAAACAGCAACTCTGGAAGTTGAAAAGCACATGGACAAGTGATAAAAGATTTGGCAGACATGAGAAAGCCAACCCCAAACCAGCAGTCAATAAAAATAAAGAAAAAACCCAATTTTTAAAATTACAGAATCCTCTAACAGCTCCACAACTGACAGCACCAGGTACCCATGAAGTGAGGAAAGGGTACAACTACAATAAAGCTTTCTAGAAGCAATTTAATTACTAGGTCCCCCTCACCAACTTTATGCATCTGGGGCACTGCCACTCCTGAACTTCAGTTAAGAGGTGAGTGGTTATTCTTCAGAGCAAAGGTGGGCAAATCATGATCTGTTGGCCAAATCTGGCTTGCTGCCTGTTAGTGTACAGCCCAGGAATAGTTCTGATATTTTTAAACAGTTCGGAAAAAAAGTAGAAAATTGAGGACACATGAAAACTAAATGAAATCCAGATGTCAGTGTCTATAAAGCTTTACTTGAACAGTGATGCTCATACCTTTATGTAAGTCTATGGGTGTTATTGCACTACAACAGCAGAATTACACAATCATGGTCACATGGCCCACAAAACATGAAGTATTTATTACCTGACCTCTTATGTAAAAAAATTTGCTGACCCCTGCTCTAAAAGGTAAAATGGTGTCTTTGGAGTAGGGGAACAAAAATGAGGAATCCGGTGTACCAAGCTGAGAAAACAAGGAGTTAAGCAAACAGCTACACACCAAATATCAAGACACAATTCTCTCTCAGAACTAAGTCTTTTCCCTGCGAGACTAGAAGTTCTTATCCAGAATCTGACCAGCCTAAAATTACTTACCTTACCCTACAGGATCTCAACAAACCAGCCTAAGTCACCCTACAACAGGGGTTTTCAACCTCAGCGCTTTTGACATTTTGGACCAGATCATGTTTAGCAGCATCCCTGTCCACGAGATACCAGCAGCACTCTCTCAATTGTGAGAAACAAAAATGTCCTGTAGGGCAAAAAAAAGTCCTGGTCGAGAACTACTGTACTGTACTACAGTAAAGCCAACAATCATGAGAGCCCAGCCAGATGTTAAGAGTACTCAAACAGCGTTTTAGTGTCTCATTCTTAATTATGAGCACTCAGGGTCTACAAAGAAAACTACGGACACTCCCCAATGTGAAAAACAGAGACCAAGACAGCAAAACTAAAAACTAGGCAAGAAAATGAAAAGTTAAAAGCAGAAAAAAATCCTAAACAATTTCATAAACTAACTAAAAGATACTGCGACCATAAAACAAGAAAAATTTCAAGGACGAAGAAGGAACTCCTAAAACATGACAAAAGAAATAAAAAATCTAATGGAAGGGTTACACAATAAAGTTGAGAATATTATGCAGAAAGTTAAAAAAACAACAACAACAACAAAAAAAAAACAGAGGTAGAAAGCAAGAGAAAAAAAGATAAGAAACTGAGGACCAGCCCAGAGTGCAAATTCTCTGTCTCAGAATGAAAAAATAAAGAAGTTGGAAGCAATCAAAAAAACAACACTCTACCTGAATTGAAAGATAGGCGTTTTCACAGTGAAAGGGCCACCAACTGCCCAGCATGATGGGCCCTTCCACCAGGGTACAATCACTGTAAAATTTTAGAACCCTAAAGACTAAAGGAAGATCCTACATGTTACAGAGGAGAAAAAAGAAACACGTCCACATACAAAGGAACAGGTATGGTTTCAAAAACTACATGAGGGGGGAGGGTATAGCTTAGTGATAATGCACAAGGTCCTAGGTTCAATCCCCAGTACCTCCATTAAAAGATAATAATCATAATAATAAAATAAATAAATGAACCTAATTACTTCCTCCCCCACAAAATAATAAAATTAAAAAAAAAAACTTGAAAACTAGAAGTAGAACAGTACCTTCAAAATCCTGAAGGAACAAGATTTCCAACTTCAAATTCCTTAGCTAGTCAAACAATTCCAAATAAGGGTACAGTAAGGTGTTTTCAGATATCTAAGGCCTCAAAAATTTCTCATGCACATTCTCTCAGGATGCTACCAAAGAGATGGAATGCATCAAAAGGCAGTAAACCAAGAAAGAAAAGACATATAATGTAGGAGACAGGTGAACTCCCCCACCGCAAAAAAAAGCAATGAAAATCCCTAGGATGACGGTAGAAAGATGTCACCCTCAAAAATGTCAGATGTACATCAGGTTTGGAGGGCAACCAGTCCAGACTAAAGAAAGCTGGGAGGCTCTGAAAGAAACATCTTCAGGAAGATAAAACACTCTAATATTTTTTCCTAACACATCTAATAGAATTCTGTGGCTCTTTAAATATATGTATTCACACCTCTGAAAAAAGTCAGATAAAAGAAGTATAAAAAAAAATACTTAGACCTCTTTCCAGGTCAGTCTATATATACATGCCAATCTTTAAAAGCTGTATAAACATATATATAATTATCTCACTAGTCCCCTGCTAGGCATGTAGGTCATTTTTCAATACCCTTTAAATGTGGCATTGGAGTATATCATGAAAGTACTTGCTGATGGAAGTGGGGAAGAGATTTGTTTCCAACCCCTCTCTCCTTTCTCAGTATACACTTTACTTGTAAAAGTATTAAATTATAAATAAAATCCAAGTGAATTAATATTAACTTTCTTTTCAGAAGCTGGAGAAAATGTCCTATCTCCTCCTCTGGGATATCCCACACCGAGGTTAGGATCATTCTAAGAGATGAACATCTCACAGAAAATAAGGAATTCTATTATGCTGCCAAGTTTCTCCTAATTATCTGTGCCATGCTTCCCAATACACTTGGTTTTATGTTCACTCATTCCTCACACTCCAGCTTTAAGACTTCTACTCAAAAGGCATGAGAACCGTTTAGATTTTATTTAAAACAGAGCACTGCTTGATACTTTTTCTCTTTTTAAGTATAACTCTATTCAGAAGCTAATAACATCAGCAGCTTAAGAAATGCCTCCAAAATTAAAAGAAAATTTTAGTTCTCAGTATGTACATGGAATTTCACTTAGAAACTCTACACTCAAGTGCCATGGAGAGTAAGTCATAAAAGTTTTAAAGTAAGTCTTCAGGGATATTCAGACTAAAGCAATGTTCCAGGCACCATACAAAGGCAGGAAAAGACAGACAAGATAATTTTAGATAATTGGAGTTCTGAATGCTACAAAAAAGGTAAAGAAGGCAAAGAGATAGGTTAATCAGAAGGCACTGAGATAAGTATCTGAATGCAGTGATGCAGTCAGCTATGCAAACACCTGGGGGAAGAGTGCTCCAGGCAGAGGGACTAGTAAGTACCAGAATGTGCCTGTACTAGCCAAGATGTATCAAGGCCAGTGTTACTAGGACAATGTAAGAAGAGAGCTCAACAAGTAGGCAGCCATGAGTGGAGAATCTTACAGGCCATGAAAGAGTTTCACTTTTATCCTGAAAGAAATGGAAAGCAATGCACATTTTTAAGGCAACGGAACACTGCCTTAGTTTGTCACTTAAACTTTAAAATTAGTCTGGCTGCTATGTGGAAAAAGAACTTGACTACAGAGGAGCAAGAATGGAAGAAGGAAGGCAAGAACAATTAGGGGCCACAAAGATGATGGGTTGATTATGGGACGTTAAATTAGGGTGTTGGGGGGAAATGGTGAATAAGAGGTTGGTTTTAGAACAGTTTTAGAGGTAGAGTTTGCTGACAGACTGGAAATGCGCAATGGTGAAAAGAAACGAATAGAGGCTAATTTATAGGTTTTGATAGGGCCATCAACTGAGGTAAGAATGAGACCATCACAAATAGTTGGAAAAAAATTATTCCAATTATTAAATTATAAATATGGAAGATGGACACTATTGCAACCCATGAGGCCGTGTAGCTCAACAGCACTAGAGCAAGTGGTTCAACGTACTCACCATTTTTCAGAGAGCAGTGTCAGGGTGGTCCAAGCAATTCAGAAATTATCTAAGTTGGAAGTGTGCATGCTTTAGGAGCAGCAATCACTATGAGATGATGTGTGTCACGGAATCACCATGGGAATAAATGGCAACTCAGTAACAAGGCAACTCTAGTTCTAGTAACTTCAGTTCAGCAGAGACCCTGAAGCATCCATCATTTCTCTAAGCTTACAGTGAAAAGACATTTTAACAGATGGCACTTAGAAGATGTGGCCTTGGTGTGTGTGGTGTGAGATATAAACACTCTGAGAGCTGTCTATTTATGTACATCTATACTGGCACATAACAGCCAGGAAAGCTAAAGCATTCAACAATGGGCCTCTCAGTTGGGTAGGATTATAGGTAGATTTTTCTACTTTTTACTCACCTGTTATTTTGCTATTTTTCAATTCTGTTTGCATTATTTGCTCAATAAAAAATAAATCAGTAAACGCATGTGAAATGAATTTTGAAACCTGGACACAACCTCAGTATGTATGAGGCACAAGGACAAAATGTCCATGAGGCAAAAGCCATGTCCATAATGGCAAAAACATCCAAGTATTTCTGAGGCAGAAATGTCCACATCAAGAATGACTATGTTCTAAGGCATGAAACTGTTCTTAAAGTACTGTGTTAGGAGAAAAAGGACGGTACTTTATCTCTTGTAATTTAAAACTTATGTTGGGAAGGGATATACATTTCTTAAATATTGTTATTTTCCTATTACCTGTTTTCTCTCTTTAGGATTGAGCAGTAAGTACCGGGGATCAAAAACTATCTTGTGCAACTCCTTCTCCCATGTTGAAAAAGCAGACACCTTTAAAATAAAAAATGTATTGCCTCATAATTAAGTTGGCTTTAAAAACAGAAAGGTCATATAATTTTTGCTTGAAATCTACAGGACAGCTCCTTAAAAAGGAGACATAATAAAAAACCATACTGAAGTTTCCATCACTAATAAATGACAAGCAGTGGGAGGCTAGCAACAGTAAAGTCCCACACTAATTGGCTCTGAACATTTCTATATTATATAGAAATAACACACACTTAATTACTCATTAAAATAACCACTACTGTGTGACATTTTAAAAATCAGTACATCAGAAAAAGCCTTGAAGATTTGCATTTTGATTTCCCATGCTTGCTCCAATCTTGTGAACAAGGCTGTAATTTAAAATTGAACAGTTTTACCTACTCAAATGAATATGTGAATATAACCAAAAGGTTGAAAGCCCTTCTCAATTAAGCTTCATTAATAGTAGTATCATAAAGCACCAGTTCTCCTTTAACCAAAAGCCATTCTGAAGATATTAAAAGAATTGCATATACCTTACCTATCTCGAGTAGTCCGCCGTTCTGTAATGTTAATACTCGTCTTATATTACTCACCAAAATTTAATGACCCAATAAATGTTAAATGTTATTTGTACTTAAAAGGACAGTAAAATGGCATTTTGTTAAACATGGTATGATTAGCCAAGAAAAAGGCTGTTTGAAAAGAGTACAATAATTTGATAGGCTTCCCTTATCCCCCCCCCACAACATGAGCACTAACCTTAGATTTGACCTTTTAGCAAGACATATTTATATTACTTATACAAAACAGAAATATCTCCCCCAAAGATTGTTTTCTGACCCCTCTCTCTAGCAGCATGTCCTTGAACTGCTTCATTCGGGCCTCCAGAGGGACAATGGCCCTTTCTCGGGCAGCTTTAATTTCAGCTTCCATGGCAGCTTCTTTCTCTGAATCAATGTCTTTATTATCGTCTCTCCTATAAAAAATAAAATATAAGGCATCAACTGACAAAATATTAATAAATAATTTTACTAATATCTTAACATCATCAGAATATTCAAGAATCACTAGTGAGCAGCGTATTTTTGGCAAAAATTATAATGAGGGTTTCAAATAAACTCTAAGGGATAAGCAACTTTCACTAAAATAATAGTAATAATAAAGTTACAATGAGCTTCTAATGATGTTACAGTGGCTACAATGTTAGGAAAAAAGAATAGCTTTAATGTGCTGTCTGTCCCTGACACTAGTTGATATACAAAATAAACCACCTTACTTAAAAAACAAACAAAAAAAACTTATCTAATATTGCAGTAAAACTCTATGTGTTAGACTCAAACAGCACAAAATAAATTTTAGTTCCTGAAATAATACAGGAAAAACAGTATTTTCCAAAATATTCTACATTATAAATGCATAAATTGTTTAATAAAGATTGGTATAAGTCTTAGTAACCTCAAATACTTATTTTGAAAATAAAATTAAAATCTCTGCAAACTTGGCCAAGTGGATATGTGAGATATATACCTTACCTACCTGACATGTTTTTACTCACTTTCTGGGTGGTAAGTTGAGATTTAAGTTGAAGGACAGGTCCCAGAGAGCAACATAGGCCCCGGAGTAGTTAGGTGGAACTAAAACTGTTCATCAGTGACTAAACTACTTCTTGTTCCTCCAACATGCACCTCAGGGCTAAGGGCAACCCTGCTTCTGTGTCGTACTCAAGTGAGACAGTAAACACGAAACTGAGTCACCTCTCAGTGTCTGCACTATGAAGAAGGCCCAGTTGTGTGAATAATCAAAAAAGTAATTCAGTAATATTCAGGTGTGTTTAAGCAGATCTTCCTTCTTAAATACGATCTGCTAAATATAAAAATCAAATTGATTTGTATTTCCTACATAAACTTAAGGAAATCAGGAAAACAGAACATCAGGAAATTCAAAAGCATGCTATAAAGGGAAATGAAGGTAGCCCAGAAGATTTAAATGGAACTAAGGCTAACCCACAAATATAGTGAGAGGTAATTAGCAATTTAGGGAATGAATCAAACAGAGAAGACATAGTCCGTGACCTGCAGGAACTTAGCGAGATACTCTGTGACCTAAGATATGCACAAAACAAACAGGTAAAAGCAATTTGCCAAACAATATACCCTCTTATAATAATTTATTTAAGAACTATTTAAATAGTTAAAAGGCATCCAAGAAATATAACTAATGAAAACAAATAACCTTTATATAAAGAATTACACTAAATGAAAGTGTCACAATACAAACTATCACTATCTATCTCAATAAAAGAAATAAAGAAAAACTAAGCCAGGAAAAATAGGCTTTTAGCTTTGTACCTAAATAGAGAAGCTCGGGCAATCCACATAAAGGACTTCTTTGACATTCTCCTGATAAAAGCAGTTAAAAACCTTACAAAGTTGTCTATAAGAACAAACAATTAAAAACAACCTAAAAGTTTAACATTGTAGGAATATCCAAAATTACGGTACATAAACAGAATGAATACAGTCATTTACAGTAATTAAGAAAACAAATGTCTTTGTCTAGACTTTTTAAAAAAAAACACAAAATCAGCTGATTACAACTAGTAAAAATAATTATACATTTGGTCAAGAACTAAAAAGTCAACTATAAATATGAAAATAGCTGTTGTTACTGTGGTAAATTATGGGGTGACTCTTTTAATATCTTAATTTTTTTCACATTGTTGCCAATAAGGAAATTTTTTTTTAAAAAGAACCACCCTTGACAGGGGTTGTCTTACTGATTTCTTGGCCATAATTTGGCTGCATTCAATCTGTCCTTCTCAGATAAGGACTATGATAGACCAGTCCCTAATGTCTTCAAACTTTCCTTTTTGCTGCTAAATAATGGTCCCATTCCTCCCCCATCCCCACACAAACACCCTCTACCCCAACCCTTTCACCACCCATAATTAGCAACATTCATATTTTACCGACTCTAGAGCACTGGTCATGCCAATCCCTTCACTCACAGCACTCTCTCTCTCAGAAAAAGCTCATGGGTTCCCTCTTCACCAAGTAATGACCATGGACTCAAGGACTAGCCAAGTGACAAGTATGTAAGAAGAGAGAGAAGGCTGTATATACGTTTACGAGATTTCTGGCATGGTATCCGTTGGGGTCTACATTAGGGAGGGAGTTTCTTTTTTTTTTTAATATAAAATTCAGCCCTAACGAATGTCTGAAAGTAATTTATCAACTAACTCCTAAAATACCATTTGGCTTCATAATACATACTTAAATAATCAAATCTTTTGCAAATCTAGCAACAGAAGAGACACCATTTCTACAGTCTAAAGCAAAGCTTTTCAATATCAGGCCTAAGAGAGCAATCATGACTTCTGCCTCCTAACAGCATACATTATCACCTGTCCCAATCATGAACTGACTGCAATCTAATCAACTTTTAAAAGGTAAAAAAATCTACCTAAATTACATAACCTATAAGTATTACTTACTTCCGTTTTTTGGCTTTAACAGGTTCATCTTCATTCATTTCTTCCATTAATTCTTGTTCTTCTTTAACTGTAAGATAACATTTAATTAAACCATCAGGATAAAAATAAGCAAGCAACAATTTAAGTATTTAGGCATGACTCCTTCTGCTAAGCACTATTAACAAATGCATTAACTGTACTTCTTTAAAGCTGCAATTTACAGTTCACTCACTTGCACTCATAGAGAATTGCCACTTTTGGATGGACAGCATTGTCGGGGTCGGGTGCCCTGGCAAAAACATTTCAAATGTTATTATGAATACTTATATGCACTAATTAAACAATCTTTTCCTTTATAATACCTTCTCTATTACCTTCCCTTTCCATTAAATCTTCAATTCATTTTGAAATTTTTATTTATAATGAATGTATTTATCAAATAAATGGATCAAACCCTTATACCTTTAGAACCAGAAAGACCAAGTTTCACTAATTAAGAAATCACTTGTAAGCAGAAAATGTTAGTACCAAGTATACATAAACTATGGAGATTTCTCAATTATTATAAATAACATGTATTAGGATTTGTTTCATTTGAAGTTTTAAATAGTTCATTTATCATGCTTCTATACTACACAAGGGGGTTCTATAAAAACATAATCATCATAAAACAAGGACAAATTACCAATAAAAATAAGCAATAAGGATCATGCACAAATATTTGTGTTCATTCTATATATTGCAATGATGTCTGAATATGTGGTACATTAAAAGATTATCTCTTAATTAAGTTTTTAAGTCTCCATTCTCAGGAATAAGGCTTACCTTCCCTAAATTTCATCAAGTTTAAAAGACTAACTAAGCCTTTGCATTCTGTATTTTACAAATTTTAGTAAACAGTATTTTAAAAATAGTCTGTACAGTTTGATTATTTCTAAAAATACATTACTCATCACAAGAGTGCTAAAAAGCTCACTGAGGAGCATGTTAGTATTACCAATAAGCATGCAGCAAGCATCAGCAGTACCAACATATCTTGGACTAACTGACAATCTTGAAGAGAACAAGAAGTTAAACATATATGTAATAAATATTTTACTAAACATAATTTTATCCAAATTCTCTATTTTTAAAACACCTCTCCTATTACTGAACTCAAACTAGTAAAGCAGTCTATTCTCCATTTCTCAAATATTCTTTTTCTTATATTCCTTGAAAATATAAAGTATCTCTAAATGTTCTCACATTTCCTGCAAAAGTACTAAAAGAATGTTAAAATTAGAGGATAAATTCCTAATTTAAAACTTACTTAGTTTCTTCACTTCTTCCATTCCTTTTTTGTGAGGGGGCTCCTGAATAATTTTATCAACATCTGCCCTTCCAATCAGATCATCAGGTCGGTCCCACATAGAAAGACGGGTGGTAGGATTATAAAAGAAGACCCTCTCATCACCAGTCCAAACAACACACCTATGAATTAATTCAAATATAATTTTCTTATGTTATGGAACATATGTCATAGCTAGATCTTTTACTGTCATCCTATCCAAAGTGGAGGTGATGGTGGGGGAGGAAACATTATTATTATTAGTTATTTATAGAGAGACAAAGATGATTTTTAGAACAGAAGAGAGCTGACTAACTAAGGGTAAAATACTAACTCAACAAATTAATTGAGAAAGCCAGGAAAACAAAGGAATTTGTGATCAGTTTAGAGTGCTCAGGAACTCAGTCTGGCACACTCAATTTTATACTACCACAAAAGACAAGTTTAATAGTAATAAATTAATAATGCTACTAAGCAGTTCTAAAGCTAAAGAAAAAGATCACAGCATCCTATTTCAGGATACTTCTCAGTATTTCTTACCAAATCAGAATTACAAACACATTCTTCAGTGAAGCCTTTAACAACTGATTACATCAAATATTTGAAAATAAAGAGAGGTACTGATTATACTGGAGCCCACTACAGCCCACTGTTCCTGTTAATTACAACGAGCAACTCTGCATCAATACACAGACGGAAAAAAAAAAAACAAGTATGTAAGGACTCTACTGTAAAGTTTTTTAAAAAATAGAAGCATGATGTCAAAATTAGAGAAGCAAGTGCAAGAGTGTAAATATTCCATTTCTCCTCCCTCAAACCTCTGTCCTGAAGAGGCTCTCAGTTGTACAGTGATAGTAGCACAGGCAGCTAAATCTCCGATAGAAATCAGGTCTTTCTGGCCAGATAATCAAAAGTTAATCAATAGCTGCCAAGCCCAAGGTGACCTAGATGTTGATATTATCAGGTAAAGCCTCTACTGTTGAAATAATCAAAGACTTTAAAAGCAGTAATTATAACTAGGCTTCTTTAGATTGAAAAAAAAAAACCTTGAAATGAATGAAAAGACAGTTCTCAGTAGAGAAACCATTAATAAAAGAAAGAATAAGTTACAGGAACCTATGGGACTATATCAAAGTGTTTAACATACATGTCATTGAGATCCCAGAAGGAAAACAGAATACTGGAGGCAGAAAAACTCTGAAGAAAAAGTGGCCCTCCAAATCTCCAACATTGATAAGAAACAAATATTAAAGCAGCTCAGTGAACCCCAAACAGGATAAACTTCAAAAAAAACCCCAAAAAACACATTTTTAGACAAAAAATAATCAATACGATGAAAATGAAATATAAAGAAAAATCCCTGATAGCAGCTAAGGAAAAATATGAAACAGAACAAACAGGGGAGTAAGTCCAATGACCCTGGATTTTCTACCAGAAACCCACAGAGGCAAAAACACAGAAAAACAACATCTTTGAAGTTTTAGAAAAAAAGAAATGCCAAACCAGAACTCCACATACACTGAAAATATCCTTCAGGAACCAGGGCAAAAAAAGTTATTCTCAGAGGAAGGAAAATGAAGAGATTTCATCTCTATTAGAACTACCCTACAAGAAAGCTTTTCAAGCTGAAAGAAAATGATAACTTAAAAAAACAAAACAAAAACCCCAACACAAACCTGGATCTTTAGCAATGAAAGGAAAACAGAAATGGTAAACACCAAAGATAATATATTTTTTTCCTCTTAAGTTCTTTAAAATTTATATAAGAAATTATTAACAATGCTAGTGGCATTTTCAGTGTACACAGTGGTAATACATATGAAAACTACAACATAAAGGTCATTAGGTTCAGGGTTAAAAAGAACCTATATGGTAGCAAGGTTTCCATATTTTCTGTGAAGTGGTACAATAATAACTCTAATAGGCTATGATGGTTACAAATGTATCCCTAGAACAACTAAACATTAATGCAAAGAGTTATCACCAGAAAGCCAACAGATAATTATCAAATGGAATGCTAAAAAATATTCAAGTAATTTAAATGAAGTTACTAAAGGGGGAACAGAAAAACAAAAATAGAGAAGACAGAAATCAAATAATAGATCTAATCGAAATCCAACCATATGAAAAGTTACATTCACATTAACAGTCTAAACACTCCAATTAAAAAGCAAGAATTGACAAAGTGGATAAAAACGCAAGACACAACTATAAGCTGTCTTAGGAGACAATTTCACATATAAAGCCATAGAAAGGGTGAAAGTAAATGGATGGAAAAAGAAATGCTATGCACACAACATTAAGGCAGGAATGGCTATTTTCATAACAGATGAAACAGACTTGAAGACAAAAGGTTATTAAGAGAGATAAAGAAGGTCAATTCATAATGATAAAAAAGACAATCAGGAACACGTATCAGTTGTGAAATATATAAAAGCCCATTTACAGAGTTTCAAAATAAATGAAGAAAGGATCAAATTAAAGAGAGAAACAGGCAATCTCACAATTATAGCAGATTAGTAAAACTGTAAGCAACTGATAGACTAACCTAACCCAAATGGTACTAAGAAAGATCATCTGAAGAACAATAAAAGTCTTAATGAATCTGAAAGTATAAAAATCAAATAAAGTACATTCTCTGACCACCGGTCAATTAAATCAGTAAGTGAGATATCTAGAAACTCCCCAAATTATGGAAATGAAATGACAGATTTCTAAATAATACATAAGTCAAAGACAAAATCAAAAAGAAAATTTTAAAACAGTAAGAACTGAATGGCTATGAAAATACATGTCAAAATGTGTAGGCTGCTGGTAAAGCAGTGCTTAAAGAAGATCCAATAAAGTTTTAAATGATTATATACTAATATTAATGATCCAAGAATCCATCACAATAAGCTAGAAAAAGCACAAAGAAAACCCAAAATAAGTAGAAAAAAGAAATGAGTGGGGGAAAAAAAAAGATAACCACTCCAAAAGCTGGGTTTTTTTGTAAAGACCAACAAAACTGACAAACTTCCAGCTAGTCTAATCCAGAAAAGGGAACACATCACCACTAGAGGAAAGAAAAATGGGTTATCACTACAAATTACGGACATTTAAAGGACATTAAAAGAATAGGAACAAATTCAACTTAGATAAAATAAGCAAATCTCTTGAAATATACAACTTACCAAAGCTGACAGAAGAGACAAAGAATTGCATAGTCCTATAGCTATCAAAGAAGTTTAACTATCAAAAACCTCCCCCCACTCCCAAACTCTGATCCCAGATGGTTTAACTCTATAAAACCTTAAGGAAAAAGTAGTATCACCTCATACACTTTTTCAATAACTAGAGTAGAAATCACCAATCACCATCCAACTCATTTTATGAAACAAGCATAATAACCTCAACACCAAAACCTAATGAAAACATTGCAAAAGAAACTTATAGATCCATGTGCCGTGAGTGCAGATTTAAAAATCCTCAATAAAACATTAGTAAATCAAATCCACCAATATATTAAAAAGATTAATCTGTCCATTGAAAGATGAATGGATAAAGAAATTGTGGTATATTTGTACAGTGGAATACTACTCACTGTTTAAAAAAAGAATAAAATAATGCCATTTGCAGCAACATGGATGGAACTGCAGATCATCATTCTAAGTGAAGTAAGCCAGAAAGAGAAAGAAAACTACATATGGTATCACTCATACATGAAGTCTAAAAAAAAGGGGGCGGGGGGAGAAGAAAGAGGACACTAGTGAACTCAACTACAAAACAGAAACAGACTTGCAGACCTAGTAAACAATTTTATGGTTATTGGGGGAAAGGGGATAGAAAGGTATAAATTTGAGAGTTTGAGATTTGCAAATGTTAACCACCATATATAAAAATAGATTAAACTGACACATTGTAACTGACTATACTTCAATTAAAAAAAATAATAATTTACCATGACAAAATGAAAATTTTAAAACAGTAAGAACTGAATGGCAATGAAAATACAACATGTCAAAATTTATGACATGGTTTATTCTAGAAATGCAAAGCTAGCTAAACATTCAAAAATCAATGTGATTCACCACAGAACAAAGAAGAAGAACTAATTCATTTCCAAAGATGCAGATTTATGATTAAAACACCAGGAAATTTTTAAAAACCTATAGCTAATATTATAACTGAGGTAAAAGACTGAACTACCTCCCTGCAATATGGAGAACAAGGCAAAGATGCTCACTTTTACCTCTCCTATTTAGCATTGCACTGATAGACCTAGCAATAACAGAAAAATAAAAGGCATCAAAGATCAGAGACTAAGAAATAAAAAGACTCCTCTTTGCAGATGGTATGATTATTTACAGAGAAAATCCTAGAGAATCTGTAACACTGTAATAAAAGAACTTAGCAAGATTCTAGTCTACAAAATTAATATACAAAAACCTTGTCATTCATAAATCTTCTATTTCTATGAGGTCAAATTTATTCATCTTTTTATTTATTGCTTCTAGGTTGTGTCTTTCTTAGGAAGCATCCTCATTCCCTCTCCAAAAATTCAACTATTATGTCCCTAGTGTTCTTACAGTCCACCTGAATACATGAAAGATAATCACCTCTTCAAATTACCTTCCAAGATCTATCAATGAAGGAATGTATTATAACTTTCATTCCCTAATTTACTGTTTTCCATTTCTTATAATATGGGTGACTGCCAACTTTAAGCTAAACAACTTGTTCAGCTAAGCAGGATATTCCACTTCATTTGAATAATCTAACTTTATTAGCTTACCTCTTGCTATCTTTACATGCTGCTCTTCAAATTGCTATCTCTAAGAAGCTAAATGTAAAATACAGTTTCATGTTTCCATTAACTATACTGGGATTTTTTTCCCCTGGTATTTCACAGCATTAGTCTTTTTTTTTAGATTGATAGGCCCAAATTAGAAGCATTTTGTATTTCCTAAGATCAGTAAACTTTAGTAGTCTAGTTCTAAGAAAGTTTTTAATGTTTTGACAAGTTTTTAAAGGACATGGACCAATTGTAATTTTTTCCTTTGCTTACTATGATTGCATGACAAAGATTTAGCCTGTATATATATGTTCCTGTATAACTGAAAAATTGTGCTCTACACTGGAATCTGACACAACATTATAAAATGATTATAAATCAATAAAAAATGTTAAAAAAAAAACACGAAGATTTAGCCTGCAGTTAATTTTTACAGTCCCGTACAAAGTGCAGTGAGGGCTGCCTGTATTTGCCATGCTTTGTCTGTAACCTGTGCTGGGTTTTAAGTTATGAAGAATTTATCTTTGAACTTACATATTACAGTATTTGGGCTTTTACCTAGAGTGGCACAGGGAATTAACATATATATATTTTATATATATATATAAAATCAATCAATCTATATACACACATGCATACACACACACACATACATGTAGACTGATTGCTGCTGGGCTTCTAAAGTTTCCATTTTTTTACTTCTCATATTTCATTATGAAAAAATTGAAACATACAGAACACTGAAAGAATGTTTTTAAAACAATGAACACTATTGAGCACCTAGATTTTACAGTTATCATATATGCTTTATCACTTAACTATCCTTCCCTCAATCCATCTGCCAGTCTTATTTTTTTTTGATACATTAGATATTGCAGATTATCAGTACACTCCACCCCTAAGCAGTTTATTATGCATATTACCTTTAGCACAGGATAGTTTTGTGACATAAGAATTCTTTGTTCATAAAACGTCCTGACAGCTTTTCACTCCACATTTACCATTAATACCTAGGTATTCTGCAGTCAACATGTTTTAGGAGACTAGCTCTCCATTTTAAAGCAGATATTGCTGTTAATGTGGATCAGTGTTTCAGAAACTTGTACAGAAATTCAACCTTAGTTTTCCCCTAATAAAGTGAAACATCTAACAAAATGGTTTAAGTGTCTCAGGATGGTTCTAATGGAAATTCTTAAAGAGAATTCGGCACTGAATAGTTGGATGAAAATATTTAACACTCACTTCCTCGACCTTTACTTTTAAAACTGATTGTAAAGAGAGATCAAAACTAGAAATATTTTGTATTTCCTAGGATCAACAACCCTTAGTTTTTATTTGGATTCCATGACAAAAAAAGATTTCCACAAAAGACTTCACTTAGCAATAATGATTTTGAGATACATCTATGTTGTTGAATGTATCAATAGTTTGTTCCTTTTTTTTTTAATTTAAATTTATTTATTTTAATTTGTTTAAATGGAGGCACTAGGAATTGAACCCAGGACCTCGTGCAAGCTAAGCATGTACTTCACCGCTGAGCTACACTCCCACCTCCCAACAGTTTGTTCCTTTTTATTGCTGAGTAGCATGCCTTTGTTTGAATATGCCACAATTTATCCATTCACCTGTTGGTGGACGTTTGGGTTGTTTCTAGTTTTCAACTTTTCCATTCCTAGATATTTACTTATTTATAACAATCAAAAACTGGAAACAGCCCAAATAAATTACAAATAAAACTGCTATGAATATTCTTGTAAAAGTCTTCCCGCAGACCTATGTTTTTGTTTCTCTCAAGTAAACAGGAGTGGAATGGCTGGATTATTTATTACATATTCTCCAAAGTAGTCCCACCATTTTGAAATTCCCATCAGCAGTGTATAAGAATTTTAGTTAGTCGCCATCCTCTAAAACATTCAGCATGCTCAGTTTTCGAAATTCTTAGCTATTCTAACAGGTGTGGTTTTAATTTACATTTCTCTGATTATTACTAATAACAGGGAGCTTCTTTTCATGGCTTATTTGCCATTCATGCATTGTTTGTAAAGTACATGTTCACATCTTTTGATTATTTTTTGTTGGATTGTTTTTCATCTTATTGAGGTGTAAGAATTCTTTACGTCAAAGAGTGAATGACAGTATATGTAAAAAGCTCCCACAGATCATTAAGAAAATACAAGTCCTTAAAAAGATGAGCAAAAACTGTAAAGAAGCAATGCACAGCCAATAAACAAGAAATAGATTCAACTACACCAATATTGTGGAAACATTTATGATTTCTTATGAAGTTGCTATATTGCTTGATTTAGCAATTTCACTTCTAGAAGTCAATAAAACAGAAATACGTGCATGCGTTCACAAGGAAATAGTTACATGTAAGGATGTCCTAAACAGCAACTTTTGAAATGCCAGGAACAGAAAGAAAAAAAAAACAAACAAAACCAAAACACACACACACACACACACACACACACACACACAAATGAAAGACAACCTAATCATTTATGTGCAGGAAAATTATGCATTTTCATACAACAGAAAACTACGCTATCACAGATATAAATGTACTAAAACTGCAAAATTTCTGCGACACATTTAGTAAAAAACTGAGGAATAATACTTTTTAAAGACATTATAATATGCATATTAACCACACACACCTCTATACACATTTACATAAACGCAATATAGCACAGAAAGCATATGTACCCAATTTTATTAATGAGGAGGCTCGGTGAAAGTGGAATTCTATCATTTTTTTTACTTCATATGGTTATTTTATATTGTATGCTTTCTGTATACATCCGTCTAATAATATATCAGAGCAATGAGAAAATAACTCAAAGTGGAGCACAGGAACTATAGATATGTATCATAAAAGAAAAAGCAAAAGATTTCTACAAGATACCCGACAAGCAAGTAACAAATGTCCCAGAAAGGAGAAAGAAACAGATGAAGAGAAGCATTAATTAAACAAATTCCAAAGGAAAATTTCATTAATATGAGAACAGACTCAAGTCTGAAAACTACTGAGGCCCACAAAGAGCCATACTGGTAGGGTCTGGACGTGGTTACTGGCTTTCCATGTACAATAAATACTCAAACAGAGAAAACACAATCTATGAATATATTCTTCTAAAAAAGATTGTTTTCATAAATTTGATTTTAGAACTGGGTAAATATTCTGGGCAATTTTTTTTAAAATGAACCTGTGTCAAGTTGGTGGAATAACTATATAGAAAACAATTATTCAAAAATGCTTTAAAAACACAATAATTTGATCATACATCCCTAGAGGAGTAGACCCTAAACACAAAAATGACTAGAAATAAAAACTTAAATAGTCTTCAGTAATCACACTTTAAGTGATTGCATTGGTACTGTTACTCTGTGTCTTGTGTATGAGAAAAGCAAATGAGTAATTATGTTCCTATCACTGGGAAACAGGATTTTCAGAACGGAAGGAGATACTGAATTAAGATAGATGATGAGAGTCATCAAAAATTTTATAGTAGAGTTGAATTACAAGTGATGGTGTGGGGGTAAAAAAAAGTAATGGTGTGAACTCAAGATGCATCTTCAAACGTATCTTCCATCTGTGTCTACCAAAAAGATCTACAAATAATGACTAATTCAGTAGTAATGACTATCCCTCGATCCCACACTAATACCACTTCCCACAAAAAGAAACCAGGGCTCTTTGGAGAAATGGCTGAATCCAGGTCTGAAATAAGAAATACATGAGATAAGCCAGGAATGTCTTGTCAGAGAAGAAAACAAGGAAGGTATCAAAGATAGGATTGTAACAACAACCAAAATAAGCCGTCAGGAGTTAACCTGAAGTCTTCACCTAGCCAAAGGTGAAACATACAAACATCAGTAATAATAATAACTGCCATGGATAAAAACATATAAAATATATTTATGTCTATGAATTTCTAATTCTCAAACTGACACATTATTCTGAAAACATGTTAAGTCCTTTCCTGTACAATTTGTATTTCCAAATAACCAGTGTTAGTAAGGGGAAGTATCTCTTAAGTATTCTAGTTAACAAATGAAAATAGTGACAGAAATAAATTACTACCACTTTCAACCCTTAGTGATGATAGATCTAGGCCAGGTTTTGCAACCTCAGCACTATTAACACTTTGGGCCAAATAATTAATTCATGTAGGGAGCTGTCCTGTGCATGGAGAGATGTTAGGAGCATCCCAGGCCTATACATGCTATTAACACCCTCCAACTTAAGACAATCAAAAATGCCTCTAGACATTGTTCAACATCCACTGCAGGGAGAGGGACACTGAGGGGAGGTAGACAAAATTACTTCTGGTTGAAAATCACTGATCTAGGCAATAATCAGCAATGGCTGCTAATATCACAAAAAAGAGACAACTAGATCCTGAGGGAAAGGGACATCTATGAACTAGTCTTGCCAAGAAGATAAAACTTGAATCTGATCACATCTCTGTAACTGCTCCCTAATTTGCAGGAAACTCAGAAATGGAGAATTCTATTAAACAGTACCATGGGGATGCAACAGCAAAATCCAGACTGTGGGATTCTACAGAAAAAGACACACATTTTTTTTTAATTAAAAAAACAAGGAGGAAAAAGCAAGGACAACAAGTTAGAGGGGAAACCTACAGATTCTAAGATGTAAAGTCAACTCACTGCCATGGGTTGATTGTATATGGCTTAAATAAATTACAGCAGGAAAAGGACAGAAAGCACTAATGTGGGGAAAGAAGGGAAAGGGAGACCCAAACAGAAGGAGGAAAGAAAAAACAGACTATCCAATGCTAAGGCAAAAACACATAATTTTACATAGTTCTATAAACATAATCACAAATGTGGATGTATATACAAAAGCAATTTTAAAACACTTTAAACAATAAAAAGTATATTCAGGATCTTACAGGGGCTCAAATCTATAATCATGAATAATAAAACATTAATAGAGAGCACCATCAGGGGAAAAAGACACCACAGCAATTAAGCAAAATACCATGAACAAGAACCCAAAAATATTCAGTAGATAAAAACATGAATTTGACATATACTTTTTTTTGGCATACACTTTTTAAAAGTACTTTTTTTTTTCCTATTGGATAATCGTGTAATAATCAAGTATGACACGAAAGAAAGAAAGAAATAGGTAAATAAAATAACTTACTAATTAAGCCAAGTACATACCATGGAGTACCAGGAATAGGTGTAGTAGCTACTGGCTTTGCCTTCTGGGCAGCCTTTTCTTCTTCAGTCATCTCCTCTTCTTTGGGCTCCTATGGGAAATGATGTTACTCTCATTAAATTATTATTATAAAACTACACCTGAATATCCCACAAATACAAGAATAATTGCAAGTACCTTAAAGTGCAATCAACATGACGTCTCCTGCTAGCATGGGGGGGGGGGAGACTATGAATAGGAACCTCTAAGAAAGTTCTAAATCCTTGCCCCCAAGAGAGAGCCCAATTCCTTAACAGTAGACCCATGAGCAGCAGATGGTCCTATCTTACAGTCTCATTAACCATTCATTAAGAGAAGAAATGAGTAAAAGGGTACAGAAGATCAGGAGACCTCTTCACTTAAGGTCATTTCTTTTTTCTGCTAAATTCCTTACTTATAAGACATGACTACCACTGGTTCCTCATTGAAGAGAGGAAGCTTCCAAAAAGCAGAGCTCTTTTAGTGCTGTTTAGGGATTATTTCACACCTGGAGATAAATTATAACAAACATTCCCCAAACATAAAGTTGTACTTATAACATGTACCAGGTCTGTAAGTCAGGAGGCTGGACATCAGGTCCAAGCTCTAGTCCAAGGCCCTTTCTTTTATACTTTCAAAGGAAAAACTGAATTAGAAACTGTAAAAGAATGCTAACATTTCAGAGATCAGATGTACAGCAATTATTTAAAACTACAGCAAATGGATTTTCAGTTATAACCAATGGTGGCTTCATCAAAGGGTCATGACCCTTTACCTCCTTTATCTCTTTTATTGGCTCTTCTTTAGGGTCCTCCTCCTCTGTCTCCATTGGCAAAGGTTCTTCAGAAGGTTCTTTAATTGGCTCTTTAATCTTCTCCTCTAATTTTTCTATTAAAAAGTTGAAATAATGCCATTCAATGGTTCTGATATAACTTACAGAACTTTCAGAGACTAAGCAGTTAAAATATTCTATTTTTAGTTATTAATTATTAGTTATTAAATTATTAAGTTATTAAAGATAAAATGTTTTTCATTTTAATATCATTGATTTGAATCTAATGTAATGCTCAACTTCAAGTACCTTGCTATCCCAATCAGTAAATTTGTCAGCAGAAAAGAACTACTGATTTCAGAGAGACATAAAATAAAGTCTTTCAGTCATTTCATGTATCATTTGTAGCAATCATTCATTTTGCTGAAAGGGATAAGGTTAGACTAAAGTACTGAGGAACAGAAACAGGGACTTACATACTACAAAAATTACGAGTCCTCTTCATCTAAGACTCCAGTGGCCTAAATTTTTTTCTTCAGAATACACAGATTCCTTCCCTATCATTGCTATGAATCTCAATAAGGACAACAATTATTCACTAGAAAAATCATGCAGTTACTGACAACACTAAAAAATATGTATTAGTATGTATGTATAATTTAACTTCAGATGATAAAACGATAGGCAATCATATAAGCAGCCCTGGATTTTTAAATGAATACATATTTTTCAATTCAGTGGAAATAAATAATCCAACACCGTACTCAGAAAGCCCCTCAAAGAACAATTAACTCAGAATTTCAAACAGTGTTCTATTTATGCTATGTTCCACCAAGTCATTAAAACTATACCTTTTTCCTTTAGCTCTTGGGGCTTTTCCCAGGTTGATTCTAATGTTCTATTATTATAATAGTATGTCTTCCCATCTGCTGTTTTATATTCAGTCCACTCAGAAACTGCTGTTGCTCCAGCTAAAGTAGCAGGTGAAGCTGCAATAGCAACCTGGGGATGTATCATGGGTACGATAGGAGGGGCCATTCCTGGCAATACACCTAAAAAACAATGATAAAAAGTTAGATCCAAGCATCAGATTGCAATACAATATTAAATTTTAAAATATGAACTAAATCTTTCTATTAAATATTAATAAATGAATGAGCCAGGTGAAACAAAGAAAATCATAAAATATGATTTAATTATTTAAATCTACATCCCTGGTTTAGTTCTAATGCCTAAATTCTATTAGATTCAGAAATTCAACCCAAGAAGGACCTTAAAAACAGTCAGAAATTTGGGTCACTCCTATGATGAAATCTTAACATCATAAATTATAAAAATGGTACATTTTCTGCTTACGAATAGAAATATATTTTTATAAAGAATTTCTCAAATTCTAATGAAATCAAGGTAACAACTGTATTTGCTAAGCATATTTCCTGAGGCAAAATTATTTTCTTGCTCTCACATACCTAAAGAGGATATGAATTCCATTTTAAAGTAAATGACTGAAAAAAAATGACTGAGTTTATTATTGAATTTACTTTAATACACTAAGTAATTAAGTCAGATAGCCCTGTAAATTGTCAGTCAGCTTAATCTTTTCCTAAAGGAAACAAAAGTTTCTTGTATTTTTTAAAAGATAAGCCAAGATTAATATTTTTTACCAGGTAGCTAATATTACAGATTAGCCAATATTACATAAATAAAGTAGCCAAAAATAAGTGAATCGAAAAAATTTTTAAAAACCTCGAATCCCATACTAGAATTTAAGTTTCAGGTAGTTAACTTTGATAGCTTTAAAGTGTTAATTTATACTATACACACAAATATTCACACACATATACTCACTAGCATGCAAGCATAATCACATCACTTTACACATGGAAATGATTTTTTTATATTTAACTTAAAAGCACACATCAAAAATAAAATTAAATGTTATGAATATGAGAATGAAGTTGTTTACACTTATTACAAAAATTAAGATATAAAGTGATCTGACCTTATTTGCTTTTGTGAACCAACAAGCTAATACTACAGGCAATTGGGAAAATTACGTGTTGGCCAAATATGACAACTGCATTTATACTGCTCATTAAAAAGAAAAATATAAAAAAATCCACTTACTTGGGCAAAATAAATAAAAGGATAAACAACAACATTCACTACCATGCCAACTTACAGACAAAACAAACTAAGATGGTTTTAAAAATTACCGGTCTTGGTGGTAGCGACTGTCTTTACATACGGGCAGCTGACTATTTGCATCATTGCTACACCTGTAAAATGGATAAGCAAGCATACGTTGGAAAGCTGCCATTGTATGTCGGCTACCACTGGGATTCAGGGAAATAATTTACCACTACAATTTAGAATGCTATTTCCAATGAAAAAGACCAAGAATGGAGCAAAACTTCTGTCTGACATTTTGTGGGAAGTGGTGCCAAATCTAATGATAACTGATTCTAAATTGTATCATCAATTACCTTTTTATAAACCAGCTCTGACAGTATTTGAAGGAGCTTTAAATTCAACAAAAGAAAGCCCCTTCAATACATATACATAACAAGTTCTTAAGTGGGACATTTTCCCACAGGACATCAAACCCATGCTGCTCTAGACACCAGTGAAAGGCAGATGCAGCATGACACTGACCAGACACTTTCTCTGTGCTGCTGCTCACGGGGAACTACATGCAGAAGCTGAGGCATGGAGCATAACCATGAAGAAGTAGAAAAAGAATAAGATAGACAAAGAGGGCTAGGAGGGAAAGGAAGAAAATAAAGTACGAGATGGATCCAAATATTCTACTGCAAATAAGACTTCAAATAAAAGAAAGGCAAAGATGAAGAGGAGGGCAGAATTCAACTAATGACAAAATATCCACGTGTAGTGCCTGCTCCATGGAACGCCATGGGCTTGGGGCACTGTGGAGGCAGGCTATCACATTAAGAAAAATACAGCCCCTTTAACATCCGTAATGACTACATGGGCTGACTGCTTTAAAAACCTCATTATTTAAGCCAGTTAAAGAAGTAGCATTAGTATTAAAGAATGGAAATTACGTACAGTTCTTAGAAGAATGCTCATCGTGATTCATTACAATGGTGATAAAAAGGGAATGAAAGGAAAAGCTGGAAAACTAAGACTGATTAATTGAAAAAAATAAAAATTAAGAGTGAACTTTTTAAAAAATGTAAAGAAAAACGCAGAAGGCTAAAGGCAAAGGGTTGGGAAATTAAATTTTATTTTCTATTTGTTTCAGCTAAAATAAAACTAAACCTATTTTGGCACTGATGAAATTTTTAAATCATGAACTATTTTCCCGAGGTACATGAAAAGAAAGTTCTCCTAATTCAGAGACGAAAATGAAAATTAAACCCCTGAGTTTGTAAAGAATGTACCTATGTTCACACACACACACACAAAAATACTGCCAATTTTTGAAAAATGCCTTAATCTCTTTAATTATCGTTTCAAAAAAATAATATTAAAGCTAAACTTTCCATTAACTCTGAAACTAAAACAAAAGCACTGGATCATAAAGGCATGTTGAGTAAAGGTGTATGCATAGATTTACTTTCCGTGGTATTTAAAGATAGCAATGGAAAAATCCGTTTGGTTAAGGGAGTTACAGCATGCATTAGGATTAAATTAGTGTAAATACTGCCATCTGCAGGACTGCTGAACCTACTAAGGCAGCACTAGAAATTCAGTTGTTAGAATATATGAACTTTATTCTCAAAGGCTGTTCTCCAAAACCATTCCCTAATATGTATTTTAACTTAAATAGAAGAAAATCAAATCTTTTCATATTTAGGCCTGCCATTGTTAAGTATCATTTGTGCCAACACAGAGGTCTTGTATTTGATTGTATGGTCATACATTATAGACCATAATGAAAGGTTATGTGTGTTTCTTCTCATGCTAAAAAGATAAATTTAAGGTATTCTCTGAGGGCGATTATATGCATATTGTGAAGAGTCACAAAATAACCAAACATTTACATTTTTAACCTTCTTTTCAAAAGAAGCATTTGTTCAATTTTCCTACAACTCTATCCTCAAATCATGTTCTATCAGGAAATTAGAAGATTCCACTTAGTACTACTTTGGGTAATTCTGATGTTACTGACCATAAGTTTCTTAAAATTCCAAATAAGATTTTACAGACTAAAAAGCAGAAATCCTATATAATCCTAATCTGATTTACTATCTCCAATTCCATCTCTTATTCCTGTATTTTACCTAACTCTTCCATTCTTTTCTTTCATCTTGTTTGACTATTCCTTCTTTAATCATCCTCATCAGAACCATACATTGCTATTTCAAATGGAATTTAAGGCTCCAAGGTAAATCACATCCAAATTCCTCCTATTCACCTTACTCCCAAATTGATATAAACATTGTACATAAAGCCAAAGGTTTGGGGAGGAGAAAAACAAGTCTTTTTTTTACTAAAGCAACTTAGAGGACTGGATTAAAAGGGGAAATGAGAAAATGAATGACCTTTAATAATATCAAAGATTTTTTACTATATAAACAAATTTTAATATTACTTTCTATAAAACATTAACTTCATCTCCAAAGAATCTTTGGAATCTTAGACAAAATTTTATATAGTATCTAACTCAAGTTCTCTTCCAATTGACCTACAAAATGTCATTAGTGGCTGCCATTTATTAAATGCCTTTTACTGCCAAACTTCATAGGTACCTCATTTGGTCACCCAAAAAGTCACCACCATCTGTTCTCAAATTTAATGATGAGCTGAGGGCCAGAGAAGACCTTGATATCTAAAGACAGCTGTAACTGAAGGAATTATTTATTGTGACAAAATTCCACTTTCTATATGAGTAAGTTTTGCTACTCTGACCCTTTCACTTACTAGTCATATTAAGAACCGCTAAAGCAAAACCGAAGTCCTTTTAGGTGATAGCATTTCAAATACCTCAGGTATGTTACTATGCTATCTCTCAATCTTCTGTTCTCTTTACAGAAATAACTATCCCAGCTCCTTAAGATCACTCAGAATCCATGATTTGGTCTTAATACTGTCACTGACCCTTAAAGCAGACCAAGACTACAAGAGGTGATGATAAATGTCAAGCTTTTATCCATGAACCACTTAATTTCCCACATAAAGTATTTCTGAAGAAGAAAGTGTCCAGCTGCTTAGCTTAAATTTACATTAAGCCTTAGCTTAAATTTAAATTTAGTTTAGAAAAAAGGTAATCCCTAGCATTAGAGAAAACATTTTTGGTTTTCTTCTTACTTTTAAATGATTTCAGTTTCTTAAATATCACATTTTGGGCATTTAATTATCTAACACTACAACAACGTGTAAAAGATTCTCCCCAAAACCCACTAATTCTTGAAATTTTTTATTTCTTTCTTGATAAGGTGTAGTATGTGAAAAGCATTCTTTTCAAAGTGGTTACAAGGAAATAAACAATGAGAGCAACAGTGATAATTAAAATGTGTGCAAATCTAAGATATAGCTGTATTACAACCCTATCCTTGCACAGAAACTAGCACAACAAAGTGGCAATCATAGTGGAGGAAACTGAAATTAGGAGACAAGAGGCCTAGGTTCTATTCATCTTTAATACAAACTAGCCATATGAACTTGATCTAAGGTATTAATATTTTCAACTACAATTCTAGGAGAAGGGACCATGGATTAAGGATTAAATGTGTTTGATAACAGCAAATGCATTCAAATTAGGATGCCAAACACAGTCACTGTTTAATCCTTACAGGAAGAATTCTACTCCACAATCTTTTAAATTCCTTCTCTAGCTGTAATTATTTCCCTCTAAGACAATAAAACACATGAATTCACCATAAGTATGTAAGCATTTAAATGGTGCATGTTATACTTCACAATTGTTGCAAGGGAAACTTATGGTCTCTGTTTTAGATGTATTTTTTTTAAAGTTAAGTGACTTCTTCCCAGTACAATGTAATTATGAAGGGCACAGTATTTGGATCTGGAGTACACAAGCTCAAATCTCAACACCATCACTTACTAACTATGTGACCATGGGCAAGTAATTTAACTTGTCTGTGTATCTATCTCATATGATGGCTGTAAAAATTAAATGCATTATTACATATAAAGTGCTTAGAACAATGCACAATATATAAATCACTCAACTTGTGTTAGCTATTATGACTGGTAATTTTTTAACTTCATACACTCAAACTCTTAAAAATATTGCATTTAAGAACATATTTACACAAAAAGATGATCATTTGTAATTCACTGAGGCCATTATCCAAAATGAGTGTAGCTTTAAATGTGGCTCTAATTTTAAGACATGTAAACAACAACAAAAAAGGACATTTACCAAAACTGAAGAGAAAAGTACTGCAGTTAGCCATGAATCTTTCAAAAACGTTTCAAACAGGTGAGATTCAAGGCAAATTTCAAATGCAACAGACACATGAGAACAAACTAACTGACAATATGAAAACATAGCTGGAAAGACTATTACAATCTATGTGTTTACCTGGAAGTGGAATTGGCATGCCAGGAAGGGGAACACGAAACGGAGGTACCATTACTGGTGGAAAAGCAGGTATTGCTGCTGCTGGCTGAGGTACTGAGTGAGGAACGGCAGGAGGTAACGTCTGGGGGTGCGGCTGGGGAACGGTTTGCACAGGTGTGGCTGTAGGAGCAGGAGTTGAAACACTAACTGTAGGCGTGGCAACTGAAACAGCAGAACTTGGGGTCTGATCTTGTGTTGTAGGTGCTGATAAAAGATAAAACAAAAATATGTATCACTCCTTCATAAACCATTTTACTATATTTATTCATCATTCACTCATTCAGTAACTAAGTAATGCAAAGGGCCCATTCCATGCACTGCAAGAAATTTTTAACAAGGTCTCTGTCTTCACGAGGCTTGAAAGTAGTTAAATGAAACATAAAAAATAACTAAAATACAAAGTGAAATGGAATAAATGTGTAGGAGTGTATATCAAGACCCAAAGACCATTTCTTACTGTGAGAAGGTACAGAAAATTTTATACTGAGTTGATAGGCCTTGACAGATTAGGATTTCAACAAGGAAAATGACAAAGTGAAAGGAGAAAATAAGTAGTGAGAAAAGCGAGTAAAAGCAAAGAGTAGGAAACAACAAGGAATTGTTTAGAAAACAGAAGGCAAGCAGTCATCCAGTGAAAAAAAACAAAAAACAAAACCCAACCAACAGAAACCAGTGAGTTATAGCTGGAAAGGCAGGCCAGAGGCATAAAGCAGAAGGCCTTGAACAGAAGTCTAATGAGTCTGTGCTTTACTGGGTAGGGAAACGGAAGAACTTATGTAAATGTAGAGAAATGATTTAAAAGAATGAACACTAAAATGTATTAACTTATATCTGTGTACACTTTTTACTTTTTATTGTACATGCTTCGTAAGAGTTTGAAATTTTTTTATAATAATGCATTCACACGTTATTTGTATGACTTTGTGATGTAAAAGGAATACAGGGGAGGCAGATGAAAGCTTCTGTACGGAACAGTAATAACCACTGTTCATTTGATGAATTAACCTGGCAGATACATAGGAAGAAAAGGAAGAACAGAGGTGGGAAAATCAATTTTGACATATCAGAATTGTCCAAGCAAGGAAGAACAGAGAGGAAAAGATATGCAATAACTAATGACTGATTGCACATGAACAAATGGAGTCAAAAACAATTTGGGTTTCTCTATAATTATTTCAAAATAAAAGGTAAAAAAAAGAAGAAAAAAACCCCTCAGGTTTCCAGTGTGAGAGACCAGGAGAGTATGAAATTTAGGGTAATTTGGTTCTGCTAATATATTATTTTTAATATCAAAAGTAAAACATTTCATCCCTAGCAATCACACTGAAAATCAAACTGTGACCCCCAAAATAAATAAAATTCTTATTTTTTTAAGTTTCAGTTTTCAAATACTACAAAACCATTTTTTTGTTATTTATTCATAATTCATCTAGTTCCAAAAGAAAATTCATTTTGGTAATTCACTGGTAATAAATACTTCATCTTTATCTTGATGTAAAGAAAAAAGTCAAACTCTACCTGTATTGGACTAAGAATGAATTTAACAAATTAAATAAAACAGTGCTTTCCCAATCTTTATGCCAATTTTCTAAAGGAAAGCACACCACCCAATAATTCAACTGACAAAATTTCTCAGTATCTTTTTTTCAGCTCCTAACAATGAAAAACTCACTTAGGCTGGGAAGATGTGAGCAATTTCATACTTGTTAATGAGGGACTCACCTTGGCTAAATAGACAGCAGGGCCAAACAAGTATCTTCAGGGGCCCAGGAATGAATTGTTGGTCTAGCATAGACCTAGCCTTAGGGTACAGTATCATATTAATATAATTTTATAACAGTGTGAAAAATACAAATTACATGCAACATTTGCCCAGTCCCATACATATACCATTTAGCATTTGTAGTCTACTGCAATGGCTCAAAATATATCTAATTATTCTTACCAACTTCCCTGAGAAGCAGGATTTAATCAGCATTTTTCACATACTTGCACAGGATGACTTAACGTTCAACTGGGGTTAAAATATAAATTTGCTAATTTATAGTTGCATTTACCCACAGGTTTATACTGCATTTCATAGAATTACATTTTTTACAACCTATTATGGTAATAGTATTTAGTAATACTTGCTAAAATGATAAAAAGCACTATAGTCAGGAAAATAAAGTGAGCTATAAAAGGCATCAAATTTGAAGTGGAAAGGAACACCAATGAATAGGGCAAAAAGCATTCGCTCAACTCATTCCTCTTGATGACACAGGATTTTCCAAATTTGATTAGTGGCTATGAGTCATGAGAGGAAAGGGATAAAGGCAATAAAAGAATAAAATGGGAAGCTGGGGGAATGGTAGTTGGGACTTTATAGTAGGTAAATTCCTACTAACTCCATTTGCTAAAATAACTGGTATAACACTGAACCTCAATATACACTACTAATCCAGCTCAGATCTTAACTAAAAAAGACAAGTGACTATCTCTCTAACAGATGGAGAAACAGTAAGACTGTAGTATGACAACATTTCATGACATTGAATCAAGTGAAAGAAAAACAGGTGTCAGGAATGCTCAGAAAGACAACAACAAAACTGATGTTTAAAGTAGTAAAAAGAACATGATTTTGCTACTCTGTTCTTAGCCAAAAGCCTCCCAATCACTGAAGGGTAGTGCAAAGAATGACAAACAGGAATTCTGAATAGAATGGTTGACAATCACAAGATAGCTATGGTCCTACTGAAGACCACTCTGATACAGAAATGGAATATACAGAGGACAGTTAAAAATTTGAGCTCTCCACCTTCCTTAAAACAAACTACTACTATTTCTCTTTCCTAAGGCAGGAAACAAAAAAGAAGCAACACAAAGCCTCCATATGGAACCACACTGCTTTTAATTAATCCCCTTCTCCCAGGACCACTCTAAGTACTGCATAAAAATGGGCAGTTTTCTGCCTTGCCACACAGGTTTTACAAATCCTTGCTTATAAAAAGGCAAAGATCCTCAACCAACTAGCTAGTATCACTGTTAAACTTCCATGTCAGACTTCATCTTAGCTAGAAAATAGCCTTGTAAAGCATTATTTACATCTTCTATTAAGTACATTTTCTCCTAAGCTCACTAGAAAATATCAGATAGGGCCTTTAGAAAAAAACTCTCCATATCAAATGTATCGTATTTACTTCTTCAGTTACTTCTTGTGTCAATAAAATAAAATTTGGATTTAGTTCTATGACTAAATTTCTCTCAAATACATTATTCTTAGAAGGTAAGACACACTAATGATTCCCAAGTCCTTGAAGCCAAAGGGAAACGAACATCTTTTTTCTCCTTATTCTAATCTGTTATCCAAGTAGCAAAATCATCCAAATTATAATCAACCTGTAGGAATAACTATGTATCTTCCTATCAGTATCATAATAAATAATCAAATAAATAAAATCATTATTTAAGTATTTTTGGGCTCATTCTCAGCCTATGAAGCAGCAACACACCCACACCATAAAAAAAAAAACCCCCAAAAACCCCCAAAACCCCAGAAGTAGGACACATATTAACGACAATCTTTTAAGCAAATTAATAGATTTTTCTTCCCTCATCCCTGAAATCTATTAATCACCTCTCATCTTTTTAGAAACGATGTACCCCTTGGGCCTCTATGACTTCATACTTGAAAATCCTCTTACCTTTCAGACTACTTTTAACTCAACTCATTTCATCTGCCTGCATCCCATTTTAAGACCTAGTCACCTCTAAACAAGATTACTGAAAAATTCTTAAGTTTCTCTGATTTTAATACTACCCAAAAATACTACCAGAAAAATCTTCCAGTTACTGCATTTATACAGACTGCATGGTGCCTGTCTGCCCGCCCCACATGCCTGGTTCTTAAAACTCTTCAAAACCTGGTCTCATTCCTCTTCAATCTATTAACCAATGTAAACCCTCCCACCTGATAATCTCATAAACTACACTTGTCCTCATTTCCTGGCCTGCGTTTATGCTGTTCCCCCCACCTGAAACAACTCTCCTTACTTTTGAACCTACTTAAATCCTACCACGCATCCTTCAGGATCAACCTCAATACCCATGTAGTCCACTCACTTGTCTCTCCGTTTTCGTGAATTCTTATATCTTCTATTTTCGCTGCATAATTTTGCACGCTATTCTCTAATTGTTTCACATGCATTATTCTTGCTTCCTCAATTAGAAAAACTGGAAACTCTGCAAAATAGGGGCCAAGACTTACACTTACTTTGCAAACCCCACAGCACCCAGCATTACTGTTGGCCAAGTTGAACAGCTAACTCTGCACTTCCCCAGTTTAGCTTCATGAATTCCAACAAGGCAAATAATTTCTTGTACTGATGTAAATTTCTGTTCTTTTAACCCCAAAATCTTACTGTCAAAAATGTATTCATCAAGGATAAGAGCTGAAACACTAGGATCATTTCTGAATGCAGTTCCTACTCGCCATTTCTCTAGCCCCTACATGGAAACACAGGCTGACTAGTACTCACTTGATACTGTCTGCGAGACCGAAGAGGCAGTTGTTGTGGTAGAAGTGGTAGAGGATGGGGTGGATGATGATGTTGAAGTGGACACTGCAGGTGCTGGGCTACTGGTCGTAGGGGTGGAAGCTCCTACTGCTTGTGCTTGCACTTGCGCCTGCACCTGCGCCTGCGCCTGGGCCTGGGCCTGGGCCTGTGCTTGCGCCTGGGCCTGGGCCTGGGCCTGAGCCTGGGCCTGGGCCTGGGCCTGAGCTTGAGCTTGTGCCTGCGCCTGCGCCTGGGCCTGGGCCTGGGCCTGGGCCTGAACCTGTGCCTGGGCTGCAAGCATAGGTGTCAGTTCTGACTGCTGAATAACCTTAACTCCATCTGGCTTGGTCCACGCAGATTCACGTGTTCGAGCATTATAATAATAAACCTGCAGAGGAATCAAAATCATTAGTGTTAAAGAATCTGCCTGGTATCATTTGAAAATGATAATGCAACTATATTTCATCTTCAAGGGTATTAAAAAAACAAGGAGAAAGTATGTAAAAATTGGCTGTTTGTTTTATTATGGAACTATGGTAATTTTTCACTCCTTTCTCCCTTCCCCCCAATTTTCTCCAATGAGCACACTATATTTTTAACATACCAAAACAAGGAAAACATTGGGTGAATTTTGTGCAGAAAGTTAACAGAGCAGGCCAGAGACTGCTATCCTTTGAAAGCCCTGCTTAAAATGGCCCTTGGCTGGCCCCTGGGAACTTAGATTTCAGGAGGGTTCCCACCATTCCGTAACTGATATGAATGGCTCATTATGCCTAAACTGTTGAGGCAAACAATGCAGTTTATGCTAAATATCTGCCTTCCTTCTGTGAGTCTGGAATTTTAGTAAGTGCCAGGCAGATGGTGTCAGAGATGTGACCAGTCTCCAATGAAAACCCGCAGCCCCTCAACTCATGAGAGCTTCCCTGGCAGACAACACTTCACCCGTGTTTCCACAATTGCGGGCCACAGGGATTACACACATTCTCCGTGATTCTACTGACAGGACTCCTGAAAGCTTATGCTCGGCTTCCTCCAGACTGCACCCCAAGCACCTTTTTCTCTTTGCTGGTATGGCTTTGTTTCCTTTCGCTGCGATTAGTATTAGCTGTGAGTACAACTGCATGCTGAGTCCTGCGAATCCTCCTAGCAAACACTAAACCTGAGAGCTGTTTTGGGGGCTTGCAGCACATATTTAAAATACAGGCTTCCAGAATCACAGGCTAACCTACGTAAGCACTCGAGGCAACTTTATGTCTGTGCAGAAGTTCAATCCAGGGAGCATTTCCTGGAGTCCTGCCCCCCTCCCAGCTCACCCAAAGCTCATTCTTCAAATTGGCAAGAATATAAGTCACTGATCTCAATCTGTCAAAACTCTTGTTTTACTCTCCTATCATCAAGAAGTCATCAACCTAAATATATCTCATAATTTACCTTCCCATCTGGAGTTTTATTTTCAACCCATATCTCCTCAGTAGGAGGCAGTGCTGGAGTACCAGGAGCAGTCACAGGAGGCATTCCTGGTGGAAACATCATACCAGGAGGAGGAGGCATGGTTCCCATGGGTGGAGGCATGAAAGGTGGTCTCTGTTAATTCACAAGAAGTAATGGTCACTTGTGTTTATCTTTTTCCCTTAAATTACTAAATTCTACCCAAACGTAAAGCACTGGGAGAAACTACTAGTTTTACAGTCCATTCAAAAACATTCATCTAGGTTGCATAAGCAATGTTTCTCCATAACAAAAATGATTACTAAAAAGACTGGAGAGAAATACATCAAAACAGTAGCAGTAGTCATCTCTGGGTTATAGCATCACGGTTGAATTTTGCTTTATTCTTTATACTTTAACTGCCTATTCCACATGTTAGGCACTGGATTACTTTCAAAAGAAAAAAACTGATTCTTCTATTTTTAACACCCACCACACTAATGCCTCCACAGCTCACCTGTAATAGGAACCAACCATAAGAGAAAAAGTACTTTACAAATATCACAGGAATAACTAAAAAAGAAAAATCGGGTATACATAACCCTTTATTCTCTCTTTCTACAAGAAAAAATGTTAGCTAGGAAAATATTCATCATTTCCTATTTTTCAAATAATAATAATAATGTAGCTCATCAAAGACATGAACATCAGTAAGTTTAAAAGATACAGTAAAATAATTATCCACCTTTAGGGAAAATAAATGGCATATATTACAATTAAAATTAAAATCTCCTAGAGCCACTATTGATTCAATGTTATCTCTGATGATTCCTTCAATGATTGCTGACACAACCCAAGATCCTGAACCAAACAATTTAAATATAATTGCTATGTCTTTCTTACTAATGCAGAAAAGAGGTCTGCCCTTTTTAAAACAGATTTTGAACAGGGATTAAAAAGACTTCCTCTATAAGCTACAAGGTAACATTAAAATTCAATTATCCAAAGCATCTTAATCTGGATAATAGGATAGACACTATGCTGATAATATGAAACTATATTTCATTTTCCTAAATATCTTTTCTTTCCTACACTTCAGTTTTTCTGGATGCAGTTTAGCATCTTTCAAGCACCAGCACACAGGCCCATGTTCTATGGTACACCCACCTAAAACATAGCTCATTCACCAGAAGCTGGAAATCACTTGGATTTAATGTAAAAACCACACAATTATCCATCAAAACCAAGAAAAAAATCATGTTAGAAACCATCCCATTACAACATCTGATATATCTCAATTAGAGTTACACTAATCCATTATATTTTATAATATTCGATAAGGAGGTTTAACTCTTAAAGGCACAAATTAGAATAAATTCACATGTAACAAGTTATACTAGTCAGTAGGTCAGAAAGTTACTTCTTTTTTTAATCTTGAAGAAAATATAAAACCATTTAACAGTTTGTTTAAGGGAGCTGGAGGAAGGTGGGGGACTATGTTATCAGGAAGGCAACACAATTCCTAAGCAAAGTATTAAAACTTTGTGTTTCTTCCAAAAAACATAACCCTATCTAAACAGAATTAATACCACTTAAACAGTATCTCTATTTTTAGTAAGTTCACTCTTGATTATCTAAGCTAAGAGAAGGCAGGTGATACCACTGTATTTATTTGGTTTCAGAATTATAAAAATTGGTTTGTTAAACTAAGATGACATATATACATACTCAATCAAAAAGAATACAATCTCAAAAGTAGATATTTGAGAGTTGATACCTTCACAACCTCATTTCAGACAATAACTGAGTCTATATACACTAAAAAGGGATACAAACCTAAGGTGAAAATATCAGAAGTTATTATTTAAAGAAATCCTACAATAATTCTATTTGTAAAATTGTAAGTTACCATATTTTTTTCAGTGGGGGGAGAAAAATCGAAATATTGTGCTTACAAAATCCAAGTGTTGCCACTTTCTAGACGCTATCCTAGGCATCATTTCTGGGGAGAATTGCTCAGGATATACATACACACGTATGTATTTAAACTTACTGGCAACATGCATCACTGAAAATAAATTCCTCCCATTCTATATATTAGGATTTCAAACTTCATTTCACATAAAGAAGGATTACTAAAGAAAATTCTCAGCAATGAAGGCAAGTTGGAACTCCCCTAATTCAGTGCTGATTTTTTGCATATATTTTCCTATCACCATCTAAATTCCCCTTCTGAATTTCCATACTAATGACTGTTACCATTACTTCTGGAGCAACACGTTAATATAAGGATGTTCTCTTTAGTTCCCAATTTCCTTTAAACTGAAAATGAAGAATACAGATTTTTAAGGCAAAAGTCATGTATGATATTGACACTAAACCAGCAAAGAAACAGCAATCTCTACATTTTTTACCTGGAGGTGTGGAGGGCCCATAGGTGGAGGAATCCCTCCTGGAGGAGGCATCGGTGGCATATTAGGATCAAAAGGAGGACGTCCAAATGGAGGCCGAGGTGGTGGAGGAGGGCCTCGCATCATACCAAAAGGTGGAGGAGGTCGCATGAGAGGTGGTGGGCCTCGCATCACTGCGTTTGGTGGGGGAGCCGGGCCTCGGAACCTCAAGGCCTGCTGTTGAGCCATCCTGGGTGGGAAAGCAATATATATATTTTTCTCTCTCAAAATAACTAAAATGTAGCCACTAATCTCTAGTTATATTGAAGTTAAAAAGCTCCTTAATAGCAAGTAGAGTTGGAAAGTCATCATTTTGTACCATCGTGGTGAAGACTGTATTAGTAAGAATAATCAATGGACACCAAATCTAGGAGGAAAGTTAGATGAGGGAGATACCTGGATGGTCTCGAAATATCTCCCCACCTGCTGCTTACAGCTGCAAAGAAGGATGAAGAAAACACTATGCAATAGGGAAACTGATCTATTTCAACACCTTGATCAGGTGATTGATTTATTATTATCTAAAAAGGACAAAAGACATTATGTCACTGAGAGGGAGACAGTATCACCTATTCCAGGCAAGAATGTATAAACTCAATCTAATAATGAGGAACTAGTAGACAAACACAAAATGAGGAATGTACTATTAGAAAGTGGGGGAAGGGGGTGTTTTATTCAGAAAAGTCAATGTTACACATAAAAAACAAAGAAAGAGGCTACGGTAATGTTCTAGATTAAAGCAGGCCAAAGAGACATGACAACACAATACCAACTCTAGACAGGATCCAGGAAGAGGGAAGAAATGCTATAAAGGACATTTGGATTAATAGCACTGAAACATCAACAATAGATTAAAGTACTGTATTAAGCAGAACAGGTAAAATTTTAACATTAACCATACTATCTTTATTTTTGCAACTTTTTAGAAGATTGAAATTATTTCCAAATAGAAGGTTTTTCTAGCAAGGGAGGGTAGCAGCTTACCAGATTACTCTTAAGAGATCCCACTAAAGGGAAAGGCTTTCTCTACACTGCACCCTACCCCACTTTCAATCTCTAGCTACACACACTACTTAATTTTCCTCATGGCATGTAAGTAGATGAGCAATATCACATTAAGACGGTATTATCTAGCTCTTCTCATAAGCGCTTCTTAAAAAAATTAACTCTTCCATAGTGCCTACCATGTGCTAGGTGGTGGTGCTCTTTTTAAGTCATTTAACCATAACATCCTACAAGATTTTCTCAGCCTCATTTTACAGATTAAGACACACATGTGTAAAATAACTTGCCCAAGGCCACACAGCTGGTCTAGTGCTAAAGCCAGAATTCAAATGGCTCTTAAACACTACACCATGCTGTCTCTCTAAGCCCCTTTAGAGCAGAAGTTGTCTGTCCTCTTCACATTTATGCCCAGCGCCTAGTTATGCCTGCACATTAACAGGGCTCAATAAGTATTTGTTGAATGAACAATGAGTATCTAGGTGATACTGCACCCAAGCTATCTTAGGAATAGGGTATGTAGAACCTTATAAAAAGGTTTACTGTAACTTGCCATAGTCAGTTACTGAGTACCTATCACAGTCTCCCCAGGAGCTAATATAAATCTCTCCATTATACATGAAATTTACATTCCAGTGCTCAAGAGACGATTAACAAGTATACTCCTTATGTACGACTGCTGATAATCATTCTTACACTCTCATCAGGCTCTTTCAACTTTCCTACATTTTTAACCCTGTGCTTAAGACTACTCTTTCAACCTTCTCTAAATTTTTCAATTCATAGGTCATTCTGATCAAAAAAATCCTAAAAAAGAACGAGTTTGCCTCTAGAAGAGCACTAGGATTGTAAACACATCCAAAACTACTATACCAAGCATATTTAGCCAAGCTTGAAAATGATCCCACACTTAAATGTTAGAAAGTATGAGTTAACACAGTGACTGCAAAAAGGAGTAAGGACTGGATCAAAATAACCAGTCTTTTTCAAATTATATGCACTCCCAAAAGAGCTGGCCCTGTTACTGAAGGAATGTCTTGACTTTTAGGGCAGAAAAAAACTTAATCACCAAGGAAAGATATTCTGTTTCAGCCTTCAGTTAATAATAAACCTTTATCTTAGATTTCCCTTGAGTCTGACTCTTCCGTTTCAAAAAATCTACACTATTTCTTTCTTAACAATTTCATACTCCCTAGTTATTACCTGAAGTTAAGCATTTTAGGCTCTAGAATAAAGAAAAGTCAAACCAGGGCTCTGCCTTTTGTTATCAGGCTATTTATATGTTTTCTGAGCCTGAATATATACTCAGATGTAAATGAGCTGGGGGCAGGAGGACAGAAGTAAAACATCCCACCCTCCTCTCTGTTCAGTGACATAATCCCCATGAATCATTTAGGATACTACCTAGTACACAGCAAACTATTTAAACTATAATTACTTTCATTCTCCCTCAAATCCTAGCACAGTGCTCTACCTGAAAAGGCACTTCGTTGCCAATTTGCCTAGATGGCTTTCAAAAGCCTGCCACTAAAATGGTGACAAAATTCACATAACTTCCTGTCAACAGCCTCAAGTTGCTATTTCTGATGTCAGAGGTGTATAGCACAGATGCTGAGCTCTTTACATACACTGCTGCATCACAACGACCTTACCAGAACCTACAATGAGGATTAAATGAGCTAATAAAGTACTTGGAACAGCGCCCAGCACATAAGTGCTAAGTATTAGCTATTATTGCTGTCGCTATAACATTAGTACAGTAACAGTATTAGTAAGTGTTAAATAGTATTAGCACTAGAAGTAGTATTGTCTATTATTATTACTATATTGTTATTAGCAGCCTCTATATAACCTGGCCCCTGTTGACCTCTTTATAGACTAGTTTTGATCAACGACTTCATTACCTTGAAGCCTTTAAACTCACTGTTCCCTCTGCATGGCAAGCTTTTCCCCAAATCTTTACAGAACTCAGCCTGAGCTCAAGTGTTACCTCAAACTCCTTTCCCACACTAGTCTCTCCCAACCCCTCCCTAGATCACTACCCGATTTAAGTTTACAATTATGAGAAATGCTATGAAGAAATCTGACTTGTGTTTACTTATGTATTATCTCTACCCACAAGTATAGTTTCCCCTTAGGATAGTGCTGCATCCTAGTGCCCAGGATGGTAGGTGTTCAATTATTGCCTCAATTACAATAAGTAAATCCTGTGTACTTCCTATATACCAGGCACAGTTATACAAACATTTGCACTAATCCTTTCAATCCTCACAACAACCCAATAAGATTGTTTGGCACCATTTTTGCAGAGGAAACCATGGTACAGAAAAAGCACTTGCTTAAGGCAGCAAGTGAGTAGCGACACCAGCATATTCTTACTCCCATTGTACAGTCGAGGAAATTTAGACTCCAAATACCTTGTCATAAGTCATAAAGCATTAATAAGCAAACAAAGGCCACAGGTAAAGGATCTATACAAATACGACTCTGAAAGTAATTTTAATGGCCCACAACCAGAAATGGATGGATGGCATTTGGATTTCCAAATAAATTCTCTGTACCATAGTTATTTTGCATTCCTACCACTTTAAATCTTCAGGAAAACAGGTGCCTGCTTGCATGAACAGAAACACACAAAATTTTTTTATAGGAACAAATGTATTTCCCTCAAAGTACCCTGTCCAGGTATGCAATCTTCCCAAGGGTGAAGACAAGACGGAAAACACTGTAATATCGTGAAGACAAGGCTGAAAATACTTTAATAACAGGAGGAGCAAAATTTTTTAATGCTTATATACAGGAAGCAAATTATAGTAAGGTAGACCATAAGTGAGAAGACCTTGGTTTTAATCCAGACCCTACCAACTCAGTGACCTTGGGTAAGTCTCCACACTTGCAAGTGCTTCCTCACTTGACGTGGTTAGTTCAGAATTTATATCAGTCTTAATCAGCATGGAAGCTCCTTGAGGACAACGGTTTCTGGTTTGGTTCAAGACTCTACTGCCAGCACCTAGGTCGGTGGCTATCACAACATACACTTAATAAATGTAGGTCCAATAAGTGAACCATCTCTCAAACTCCTACATTCATTTATTTATCATATATCCACTGAACACCTTACTGCCAAGTATTAAGATAGCAACACGCTGTGAAATACATTCAGGATACAAATACAAAAACTAGGCCCCAATTTCTGCCATGATAGGCCACATAAATAACTAATTTCTCTGAAACCATGAGAAATGCTAAAATAAAGGTCTGTACAATATGCTCTGAAGGTCACTTCCAACTCAACAAGCTGAGGTACAAAATATTTGCAAAAGAACACCTAATTTAAAGCCCTATTCAAATTAGTTTTGCAACAATGCCTAGACTACTATTAATAAAGTTTAAAAGGCTACTCATTGTAAAACTGAAGAAAGATGTCTGAAAAATAAAGGAACAGTTCCCAAATAAATCCCTAAGACTAGCTAAGTAACCTTCTCTAGAGAACAGAATCAGAAACAAACCTTCCATCGCTAATACTGAGCGACCCTGACAATTCTTTCATTGCTCATGGCTAAAGTGGACATACAGGGTTTAAAGGATATGAGATCTAACCCTGCAATAAGACTTTATTCCTGCCAAAGTAAGAATTTGTGTGTATGACCACTCAGAATCTAAAAGACGTGACTTTTTTTCCCTGAAAACTTGAATGACAATGCCCATTTTCCATCTACAATTTCATCTTGAGTTCTAGACAATACTAGAGTCCTCATAACTTCCACTGCTCTTTTTTCACTCTCAAAGGCTGACAATGGCACAACTCAGAATGGGAGCTGAACATTGGAGATGACACGTTCCCGTCCAGGGGGGAAAATATGTATCAGATATACATAAATCTCAGTACTTCGTTTGCCTGAAAACTAGTGACTAAAACATTTTAAAGACACTTCAATTTTTCCCAAATCTTAATTAAAAATCCCACAGGCAGTGAGAAACCAGGGCAAGAAAGGTCACTGCCCTCTTTGGGGCAATGGCGTGAGCAGTCGAATAGGCTCCCGAGCCTGGCTGCCTGGGTTCAAGTCACTTCCTGGAGCCACAATACCCACCAAAGTGACCGCGTTCTACTACCCCAACCTCTAACAGGCTCAGTTTCCTCACCTGTAAGTTGGGCAAGTCACATAAATGAAGATGGATCTAGACTGGGGCCTGCAAAATGCAAACAGCAACTACTCCAAACGGTGGGTGTGAGGATCGGAGGAGACGACTCCTAAGTAGAGGGCTGCCTGGCCCACGGAAGCACGGAGCAAACGGCTGCCGCTATTGTTGATATTCACAAATACGGGATAAGGAATCAAAGGGTAAGAGAAAGGAAGGCCGCACGAAGTTGAAGAAAAGCAAGAGATGGGGGGTAAAGACTGGGACAAACAGGGGACCCCAAGGACCGCGGAGCGCGTGGAGAAGGCCGGGCCAGGTGTGCCGGGCGCTGGGGACTTCCGTGCGGCGTGCAGGGCTTCGGGGGGTAAAGCTGGCCCGCGGGGGCGCGGACCCGGCGGAAGGCTGAGGTCGGCGGGCCGAGGCGGAGGCGGCCCGCGCCTGAGGCGGGGCCCCAAAGCGGCAACGCCAGGCCCAGCCCGTGGGCCGCAAGCCGCGAGGGGCGCCGGGCCCCGACAAAACCGCAGGGAGAGCCCCGAGAAGGCGCAGGAGGCCGCGGCCCAGCCCCGGCTGGGCTCCCTCATTCAAGCCACCTTCCCCTTCCCCCTTCTCCAACCCCATGCGGTCCTGGCCCCTCAGCCGCCACGGCTCCTCGTCCCACCCGCCACCCCGGCTCTCCGCGCGGCAGGCCTAGCCCTGGGAAGCCGGAGCGCCGATATATAAGGAAGAGCAGCGCCTCTTACCTGAGCTCCCCCGGGTTGAATCGCTCACCGTCCCCCCCGTCCCCGCCACGCTCCGCCATTACAGAGGGCCGCGTTCATCCACCCGCCGACTCAGCGTCCTCTATTGGCCGGACGGATCGTCAATCCCGCGCAAGAGAGGCGGAGATAGCAGGGACCTGTAAAATGATTGGTCAAACTTTCCATCAATCCTCGAGATGAGGGTGGTATCTGCTTTATTATTGGTGAAAGGGCCCGCCGACTTTAAAAGCGGTTTGGAGACAGCTAGTTGATTGGTCAGTCCGAGGCTTTATGGGAAACCGGACTTTAGCAACGAGAAACCGCCGGCGCCCTCTTGCGGTAAGCAAAACTAGGTCCTCCCACGTACCGCTCCGCCGGCGGTAGCCACGTGTCTGCCGGCTTCCAGGAAACCCAACTGTGGAGCCATATTGGCTTCATACTGGCTCAGGCCGGGACCGTTTCCACTGCGTGAGCCAATCAACAATCGGCCTGGGTCTCCCTCAAACCAATCACAGAGTTGCTGTGAAAATGAGCTGTTTCCCAGCTTTTCAGAAAATCAGGAGTCTTAAGGCACCATCCGATTATACCCATGTTATAAAATAATATATTACTAACTACAAGAATATCTCTCAAATTGTATTAAATAATTACCTGCAGACTGATGAGTATTATAAGTTGCAGTTATTAAGTAAATTGGGGAAGGCAAGCCTCTTCACAAAGTACAGGTTAAAGGATTTTAATACATCTTTCTGAAATTCATATACCCTGATACCCAGAAGAAATTCTGAATATTTATTTCACTCTTAAAGAAAAAACAAAATAAACAAACAAAACCCTGTTAGGCACTGGGGTTTCAAAGGCACTGGTGAAGATGAACTCTAACATTAAGGAGCTCAAAATTTTAAACTAATAATAGGCATATTTGACTCAGATCTAACCATATAAACCAAGCACTGTCCTAAGTACTTTCCATATGTTATTTGTTTTTGGTCTCATTAAAAGGCTTCATAAGAGGTGGGTACTATGAATAGCCACAGTTTATAGGTGAGACTGAGGCACAGAGAAGTTGAGTTACTGGTCCAAGTTCACACAGCTAGTATATGGCAAAGTCTGGCCTTAAACCCAAGACCGTGTGGCAGTAAAGCCCCATTGTTAAACATTATGATTCAAAAAATTTGAAACCATAAATCTACACAAAAACTTGTACACAAATGTTCATACCACCATTATTCATAACAGCAAAAATGTCCCATCAATTGCTGAAAGAATTAAGAAATATGGTCTATCTATACAAAGGAATATTTTTCAGTCATTAAAAAGGATTAAGTACTGATACATGCTACAGCATGGATAAACCTTGAAAACATGCTAAGTGGAAGAAGTCAGACACCAAAAGCTACATATTGTATGAGTCTATTTATGTGAAATACCCAGATTAGACAAATTTATAGACACAAAAAATGGATTTCTAAGAGGTGGGGGGAGTAACTGCTCATGGGTATGGGGTTTCCTTTTGGCTGATGAAAATGTTGCAGCATTAGATAGTAGAGATGATTGCACAATTTGGTAAATATACTAAAATCCATTGTGAACACTTTAGAGGGTGGGTTTTATTGTATGTGAATTATTGTATTTCAATAAACACCATGCTATACTGATTCCCAGTTAAATAGTCAAAATCAATTAAGTATGATAAAATGTGATAAAGGCCAAACAAAGTTCTGAGCATGATTGTTTGGAGAAGGAAAGTGAGGGTAAAATTTCACTCAATATGTAAAGTTTGAACAAACTAGTTTAAGAGCGGAAGGCTAGATAGATCCCTTTTTCAACATCAGCATGCCTCCCCAAGTCCTGGCCAAATATCCAAACATAATACTAGTAAAGATGGCTCGTAACAAAGTAACCCCCACTGCTGGAGATGATGATCAGGATGGTGGAACACCACCTGTCGACTCACTTTGTTGTTTTTAATTCTGCAGTTCTTTAAATTATAAACGTCATATCATTCCATCCCTAAATACATCAATATGTATCTCTTTTTTAAAAAATCCCACAGTTTTCTACATGTCAAAAATAACATTTTCACACCTAACAAAATTAACAGTAATACCAAATCCATATTCATATCAAGAAACAGGACAAAGGGCAGTTGAATAGCTAAGAGGTTAAGTAACCAAGGTGGCTCAGATAGTAACTTCCGTGTCCAGTTGAATACAGACTCCAGGAGAATAGGAATGCACTCGTGGTTTTTAATCAGTTTCTCCTGAATATAGCTCAGTGCCAGTCAATAAATAAGTCAATGAGCAAATTAATTAAAATGATTATCATTTCTGGTTGATATCAAAAAACATTCTAATATCTACTGAAGACTTTGAGATTAGCTTCAAAATAAAGGGAGCAGCAAGGGTGGAGAGAGAGTGGGAGGGGACAGGAGTGGGTTAGAGATGAAACAAGGTTGACTCTGCCTTGATAACTATTGAAGCTGGGTGATGGGTAGATGAGGGTTTATGATACTATCATCTCTACTTTTCAAATATTGAAAATTTCGATTAATAGAGAAAATATTCTAAGTTCTTGAAACATTAAACTATAGGGAACTGAGTATTTAAACTGATACACAACAAAATGTATCTGCTTACATTTTTAGTTTATAGTCAGATAGCAAATAAGAAAGAGCTAATGATACGAGCTAGCCCAACACAAGCTAAATTGGATCTGTCTCTATTTGGAATAGTGAATTTTCAGACCATCGTGACTCAATTTCATTAAACTCTCAAATCAAATAACTTACTGCCCTTATGCTGCTTATAATCACACTGAGCTGCTTTCTGATAACTTTATTTGCTCTGTAAGTCTACCCATAGAGAGAGGACAGGGATGTCTGGCCCACCTGACAGGTGTAATTCTCTGTAAATAAATTGGCTTTGGCATTCTGGTTTATAGAGATGGATCTTTACGTGCTCAGTTAAAATGAGTGTTCTTGACTTTGATTCCAGTCTTTTTTTGCCAATAAAATCTCTCTGGGGGACTGTAAAGCTAGGAGTACAATCCTTAACCACACATACTCCCCAAAGTCAGGGGTACCTTGGGCACTCTCTTTGTCACTCATATAGTTGAGCTTTTTGTAGGGACATCTCTGGGCACTACTTGCCCTTATTGGATGAACATCTTGTCCAATCCTCTTACTCTGTAGATGGAGCTACAAAAACTAAGGTACACATCACAATATGGCTGTGGTTTCTACCCTCTGCACTTGGTGTCACTGAGAGTCAGTTATCCGGAAGCTTAAAACGTATTTTTTAAACTTTTCATTTTGGAGTAATCTTGGATTTACAGAAGAGTTGCAAAGTTAGTATGGAGATTCTCTGCACCCAGCTTCCCTTAGGGTTAACATATTACATAACCATGGTACATTGATCAAAACTAAGAACAGGAGGGGAATTTTAGGCCACATTAAGATATCTAACTTGGGCAGCCTGGGTTAAGACACAGGGATAACGTCTTCAACCTTACAGTTCAAGTATGTAGTTATAATCACAGGCATAAATTCTAAGTTGACTTGTTCTCGTTTTGGACTTTGGTTTACTCTGTATTCATAGTCAGATGCCTTTGTTAACTAGATACTGTAGGATTTTTAGAACAGAACAGAAATGGAGGAGTGGGGAGATTTTCATCAGCCAAAAGGAAACCCCATACCCATGAGCAGTTACTCCCCCCACCTTTGAATTAGGAAGTTTCCAGAACTGCCATGGTCACAGGTCCCTTTATGCAGAAGAACTTGTTAGGCCAAAGCAATCTTACTAAAAAGTAAATAAGAAAACAAATCACTATTAGTGGAACTCACTGTTACTGAAATGGTACATTCATTCATTGCCTTTCTAATTTCAGTACATTTCTATACTGGTAAATGCAAACAGTATAATGAGACCTAACTCCTGCCCTCAAGGAGCTTATGGTCTAATGAGGAAGACTAAGAAGCAAAAAGTGCAGCACAGGTAAGATTTCCAACAGCGATTAGCTCAGATGCTGGAAAGCCCTGCAGAGGGCCAGGAGACCCAGCCCTGCAGGCAGTGCCCTCTCTCCCTGAGGTCAGGCCGGCTCCCTGGTAGGAAGCATGTGATTGTGTTAGGCGTACCAGATGGGAGGGCATTTCAGGTGGCAGCAAAGCATGGGATGGAGTAAGGACATTTTAACTCACCTCACCATTTTGTTTGAAAGGACATTTCAATGCTGCAAGACCAAGAAGTAAGCAATCAACATAAAGGACCACTGTAGCTTCTCTGTCACGGGCTGCCTGGGTTTGAATCCTGCATTTGCCTCTTACCAGCTGTATAGTTGGGGACAATTTCTTTCCAGTCTTTTTGCTGAAGTTTCCCTATCTTAAAATGGAAATAATAATTATATCTCCCCCAAAGAGTTTCTGTGAGTGTTGAATGAATGTAAGGCCACGTAAAGTATTTAGAACAGGGATCCTAGTATGTGCTCAATAAACATTAGCTATTATCATTTCTATAAATATAATTTCTATTCTTATTATTTGATCTCCTCTTGCTTTCTTTATCTCCCCATATCTGAATCTTTGCCTCTTTGCCTCTGTTTTACCTTGCTCTCTCTGTTACATAAACTGCTCAGTTTTCTCCTTGGTTAGCTAAGTAATAAATACGAACTATTAGCCTGATATCTGATTGATAATGGATATTTCTTGTTAAAAAAAAAGTACAAATTGAAACTGAAAATGGCTAACATTGCATGTGATAAAATGTGAAACTGACTGAAGATCAGATCTTAAATGCAAATCTCTAAAATCTGACCCAAGAAAGTTGGGTCTGGCAGAAATAACAATCATTGAAGAAACTTCTCTCGAACTAGACAATTGGTAAGATCTGATGCCAATAGAAATGCTTTAGGGAACACAGATCTTCACCCTGAAATTTCAATGAAGAGTTAATTTGGTCAGAAATAACTTTAGTGAAAAAAAAACTAATAGCAAAAAATATCATCTAATGTAGAAAACAGATCCTGAAATTTATTGGTATTTGGTTGGGGGATTACTTATGTGGGTTTATCACCATTGAAGTTTGCTTCTAAAAATGCTTTCTCACTGAACACGCAACAATGTTGGTATAATTTTGATAAAGTGTCAAAATGCCATTAGGGCCCAAAGGATTATGGTCAGGCTAGGGATATGGATGAAGATGTGTGTGTGGTGTGTATTCGTGCACACAGGTACGTAGAAGAGAACTTAGGGGAAGTCAAAGGGCAGCATGGCCTGAGAACTGGAGCACCATGCAGAACATCCCTTCATGCTGTCTTAACTGATGGGCCAGAGACAGGGCAGGAAACATAACTTCAAGATAAGGCAGACTTGGGTTAAAAAAGGGTTCCATCCCTCACTAGCTGTCACCCTACAAAAGTTACCACCTCCCCAAGCCTCAGCTACCCGCCTCATCTGAAAAGGAACATGGCAGCAGTGCTCACCTCATGAGCTTGTCATGAGGACGGCCTGAGACAGAGCCCTTGCCAGGTACCTGGCACGTGGTCAGCCCGCACTCTAGATGTTAGCCACCCTTATCTGTTATTGTTCTACTTTGTCAGTGTGTCTGTGCTCCCAGAACCTCATCCAGCTGACAGCCAGCTAGATGAATAGCTTCTTCTGAATAGGGTCCTCTGATCCTATTTCTTTGCCCCCTGCCAGCCCAGTTTCCAGGATCCGAGCACAATGCCATGCTTAGGATATGATCCCAGTGATTTTTTAGCTGTACGTTGAGAGCATGTTGAAGAAAAAGTAATATAAGGGGAAAATGAAAGGGAACTGGGGGTCGGGGCTGTTAGACATATGGGGTGCATCAAAGGACCGCCAGACAGATGGTGAGCAGGGGAACACACCTGGGTGCTAGGTACTAATTAGCTGACAGGTGGGTCAAGGGTGGGAAAAGGCAGGAAACAGTATGTTGTTTATTCCCCATAATCAGAGGCTGCCTGTGGCCAGGTTCCCTAACCTCCCCACTCCTCCTGGCTGAGTATAAGTTAAGAATATGCTCTGCTTAACCTTGAAGAAGCCTTGGACCAGGTGAAGAGGAGCTTTGCTGACAGATTTGATAACTAAGACTTCCAAGAAAGGCTCTGAGCCACTTTGGCCTCAGCTAGCACTCCACTTCCTCTGGTCCCATCCCCCCTGAAACTAGAACACAGCTTGGAAAGACAGCTAGGTGCCCTCGCCGTCACTGTGGCTTCCTCAAGCCTTGGCCCGCTCTCTCCTTGATGAGCCTGCGGGGCTGTAATTCTCATCACCTGACATTTATGGGCGGCTGGATATTAGCAAAAGGTTTTACAGCCATTCTTATGAGGGCTACCTCCATGAGACCTGTCAGGGATAATCACCCAGACTGAGCAGAAGGAAAGAGAGCAAAGGCACTCGCGTGCTATCACCCACCCTGCCCGCCTGCAAAGAGCCCGCAATGAGCCTGCAACAGAGCCTGCAGGTGCCCTTTCTCTTCAACCACATGTCAGAGCTGATTGGCTTGCCCTCGTACCCTTGGCAGCTGTCCATCATCATCTTCCACATCCAACTCATCAATGGGTCCTGAAGGTGCAACTCCCAAGGGTGCCTCTGGTCCATTTCGGCCCATCTCCGCGGCGCCACTCTGGCCCAGCCTGCCTCCCGCACAGCCCTCACTTGGCTCTGCCTCCTGGTCCTGCCCCTGCCCTACCTTCCGTGATCCACACAGGAGGAGACAGCGCAGTCCTCTAGATGGTTATTTCTCTCTTTCATGGATGCACCTTGTAAACTTTCTGAAAAATCTTTATGGATCTCCTAGAGAGAATGTGTCCGATGAAAAGAGGAATCTTTTAAAAAAACAGTACCTTCCTCTACTGGGTAAGATTTATTCTGAAGAAAAATCCAAGTACCTTTACAGACCGCGGGGTCCCTCTGTGACCCCTTCCCTACCCGCCTCTCTGACCTCCCCTCCACACTGGCCTCTGCTCACATACAGGTTTCAGAGGCACACAAGTAGGCTTACATCCACTTCTCAGCCTGCCGGGGAGCCCTAAGCTCTGCTGTCAGCACAGCTGACTGTCTCAACCTCCCAGGCTCAGCTCACCTGCCACCTGCCACCTCCCAGCCCGCCCAGCCTTGAACTGCCTCCTTGCCCACATCACCCTGTTCATTGTTTTCAGGGCACTTGGAACAAACTTAAAATGTTTCTTATTTGTTGACTTACACATAGTTTGTCTCCTTTGTTGGAATATACGTCGTATATTTTTCCCGGTTGCACTACTGCCTAGCACAGAGCATAGGCAAAGTATATTTACACCCGGTAAATATGCTTCAAAAAATTAAATGAAGGAATGAACGAAGCAATCTGCCAAAAAGCCATTCACCCTCTCAAACCTCCTGCAAGTCTTCGTGATAATCAGTAGAGGGCAGCAAAGACCCTGAGTTAGCTAACTTCTGGGTTTACGCCAGAAACAAGAGAACTTTTCCGCCTTTGCCAAATAGCAGCCTCAGGTATATCAGAAATTTCAGGGAAAGTCTTGCCTTAAAATTTTTTTCTTCAATTTGTTTCTGAAGCCTTCTCTCTGAGTCATTTACAGATTTTTTGGGGGGGGCAATTTCAGGGACAATTCTCCTCAGGAGATGAAAGCAGATGTTGTGTTGACTAAGCCAAAAGAAAACCCTACGGCCTAGAGCCTGTACCTTCCTGTCTGACGAGTCAGAGTGGAAAAAAAGATGCTCCTGTCATAGCCAACAGCTGTTTGGGACTCAAGGATTTACGGCTCTCCCTTATGGTGTGTGGGGAGGAGCAGATACCAGCTAGGCAGCTGCTGTTTGTGTTTTGAGCACTTGCAAGAGCAGGTTGTGTGTGTGTGTTTACAGTTCTGTCTTCCGCTTCAGTCTGTTTCTGCTCATTTCTGTAACCGTTCCCCAGCCCAGGGCAAGAGCCTCAATGTCTCCTGCCTTTGTGGGCTGCTTCACTGAAAATGCACCCTGAATCCAAGCAATCAGCAGTAGAATCAGCGTCCATACAGTCCTAGAAGGGTGCTTCCATTCAGTCTCTACCTAACAAATGTTGACTGAGTCCTCTAACTTACCAGGCCTGGGTGTGTGCTCTGTGGGTACAGATGCTTCATTTGATTAAAAGAACAGTTACTAGTAAGAACCAGCTGAGGTAGAGCTTCTCAGTCTTGGTGCTGCGTACATTCTGGACCAGGTAATTCTTGGTTGTAAGAGCATTCTAGGATTTTAGCAACATCCCCGGACTCTCCCCATGAGATGCAGGGAGTACCTACCCCCTGAACCGTGATGACCAAAAATGTTTTCAGACACCACAGAGTGTCCCCTGGGTGGGTGAGGATGGGGAGGGGGGCAGGTTCTCACCCCCAACCTTGAAATCTACTATTTTAAGGATCATGGTGGAAATCTTCTAGGGTATCTTTACAGCCTGAGTCAATGACCCCTCTCCCCTGGTTCTGCTCCTCACTCTCCCTTGCTTGTCTGTTGTGACCTTAAGCCTATGGACCGAGTACATTGAGCATCTGACCCAGCTGAATGCCTCTTGGGTTTTTTTCTTTTGGAATCTGCAACTAAGACTGAGAGACTGAGTATCACTCGGGACCTTCAAGGGGACAAAACTTTAAAGCAAATTTAGAAGGTGTGGGCAGATATATGACAAGGTGGGGGACGTGAAGCAGAGACATCCTCCTGCACAGGAAATGAACTAGACTTGGAGAAACACACAGGAAGAGGCAAAGAGGAGTCACCTCCTGCTGGCACGTTCTGGTTTTAGTACTTCCTAAGGACAGGCTCCACTTCCTGCCATGGTAACATTTAATAACATTGATAACTAATTCCTCCTTTGCGCTCAGCCAGTTCTGTCGTTGCTGTTGCTGTGTTTTCTGTGACTAGCGAATGAGCCCTCACGGGTGCATGCCCTGTGGCTGGGAAGTGAAATAATAATCAGAAGACATCAGGCAGTTTTGGGGAGGGTTTCCATCCTTCAGGGCAGCTCCACCCACCTCCGCAAGTGCTCCATTCTCCTTTCTCTACCAAATGGCTTCCTCACCTTCTCTATAGTTTTCCTTGTCTTCACCTTGGCTTGTCCCCAACCCGGTGTGCCAGGGCCTCAGCTCAACTTCTTGCTGTCCATTCACCATCAGCTTGACCAACCGGTAACAGCAAACCCAGGCCGGGCTTCTTGGCTCAGATTCCTGAGTCTGATTGGCTCGTGTGGCAAAACATGATTGGCTGCCCACCCCACAATCATCCATCCTTCCCAGTTTTTTTCAGGCAAACAACCCCAGGTGGTGAATCAGAATTGGTTTGTTAAGGGTAATGAGATGTAAGAGGAATTTTCTGGGGGAAGTGGGGGCTTATGGCAAAGAATTTTATCCTTAATGCAAAGAGGCAAAGCCTGAGGAGGAGTTAGCCCATCCCCTTCCTACCTCCTCTGGATATGTCATGTGAGGACATGATAAATGAAACCGTGACAGCCATTTTGCAACCATGAAGTAAAGCCAAGAGAACTAGCGAGAAACTGACAGAAGCAAGCTACAACATCCTCGAGCTGACGAATTAACCAACCCTGGAGCCATTTACCTTTAGACTTCTTGTTACATGAGATAATTAGGTATCCTTACAGTTTAAGCTACTTTGACTCAGTATCCTGTTACGTGAAGCCAAAAGGATCCTGACCGATACAGTATAGCTCATCTTTTCAGGCCAGGTCACTCAGGTCCCAGGTCACTAGCTGGCTATCCTGTAGATAGATGAACTGTCCTGGAGTCACACACCTACCTCCAACCCATGTGTTCATTCCCCTGTCCCAAACTTTTATGATGAAAATTTTTAAACCTACAGAAAGGTTGAGGAAATAATGCAGAAAACACTGAAATATTCCTCAAAAAATACATGTCTTCCCTGTGCAGGGGGTGTGCTAATCTTCTCTGTATCATTTCTATTGAAGTATATGTGCTGCCCAAGTGAGCATTAGTTTGATTTTTTTGAATATGTAACACGGTAGCATAGTTCAAAGGTCAAAACTACATAAAAATGTAACTCAGAGAAGTTTTCTTCAACTCCTGTACATAACCAATTTTACTGGTTTCTGGTTTAGCCTTTCTTAATGGCAAGCATAAGCAAATATACGTTTGTCCATATAAACACATATATCCTCATTTTGCCATCAATTTTATTTCAATGGCAGTATACTATGTATACTCCTTTGCACCTTATTTTTCACTTCATATTGTTTTGTATATTATACATATGCAACTGTTTCATAGCCCTCGCGTTTCACTTATTTGCAGTCTCAAATGTAATTGGTATTTAGGAAGGTTTTATTTGTATTTTAATGGTTACTTTTATACTGAAGCTAAAACAACCTCAGTCCCTTTCGTCTTATTTTTGTTATTTTCTGTTGGTTCCCCAACAATATTGAAATTAGTTAATAATTTCTTCTTTTCTTTCTCATTCCTGTTTGCCAGCATCTCAGGTAAATAAATATCCTTTCACCCCCATCAGCAGCAAATGTATTCAACAAGTATGTTCTCTATTTCATCTCTCTTATCATTCTTCTAATTATTGTATAACCTCTACATTGCCTGGGCACGTACTCTTTTTACAACCATAATAGTTTTATGGGTAAATACGTAACGCCAGTCAATCCTTGGTCCAGTCACCATCGGTCCTAAGGCCAATGTCTTTCCATTTTGGTTGTCCCATAAGCCTTGCTTCAGTAAACTCAGAGGAGCAATATTCTTTAGTTCTTTCACATTTATCGTTTGTGACATGTTGGCTCATGTTTTCTTTCTTTGAATATCTTCAGTACATTACTCTATTTCTTCTGGAATACAGTTTGAAGATAATTATTTCTTTTCCATTTAGATGATTTGATATTTTGACTAGATGCCCAAATGATTTTTTTTTCTTTTTTTGTAAAGTCCAGAAGTTTTTTGAGACAATATCTTGACACTGGTCATTCTGGATTGATTTTCCTAGATACTAGTACCAAATCTCTTTCTCTCCTTTTTTTTTTTTTTTCCTTGAAATCTCTTTTTGTCTCAGGAAAAATTCTTAAATGTTTGCTTTGGAAATTTAAATTAGTTTTAAATTACTTTTAAATTTCCACTGCTTTTTAGTTTCTTCTTTGTGAGTCTTCTGTTACATATATGTTGGTTTTTTTGTTTGTTTGTTTATCTTCTATATCTACCACTTTCTCTCAAATCTCCTTGATTTGTTCGAATTCCCTCCTTCTCACCTACTATTTATGCAAAGGTGTAATTTGATGCGTTTATTCCCTCTTCTGCTTCTTTTATTTTAGTCTCCATCTCTCAAATGATTAACATTAATTCTAATCCTGTGTTCTCCTACTTCATTTCTGAGCTTCTCTAATTCTGATTTATATAGTCCTTTCTTAGCTGATACTATTTTATTAATTTTTTAAAGCTTAATTTTCAAATAAGTTAAAATTTTCATCTGTTTTATAAGCATGTCTTTCTGATATGTTTTCATTGTTAGACTATTATTCTGCCCTTTTCTTGTTTTCTTATAATGATTTAGGGTTGGATTTTTTTTCCAGCTTTATCGAGATATAATTGACATATAACATTGTGTAAGTTTAAGGTGTACAATGTAATGATCTGATACACTTACATATTGCAAAATTATCATCACAATAAGATTAGTTAACATACCTGACTTAGTGTTGGATTTGAACACAATCTTACTCTATTGTTCATTTTTATATGAATTTAGTTTTTCTTTTATGAAGGAAGGATGACTCAGGATAACTTTTCTAGCTTCATTACTCTGGATTTCCTTCTTCTGTTTTTTTAAATTTTTAAATTGAAGTATAGTCAGTTTACAATGCTGTATCAATTTCAAGTGTACACCGTAATGTTTCAGTCATACATGTACATTCATATACTCACTTTCATATTCTTTTTCACTATAGGTTACTATAAGATAGTGAATATAGTTCTCTGTGCTATACAGAAGAGGCTCATTTGTCTATTTTATATATAATAGTATCTGCAAGTCTCGAACTCCCAATTTATCCCTTCCCACCCCCTTATCTCCTAGTAACCATAAGTTTCTTTCTGTGAGTCTGTTTCTGTTTTATAAATAAGATCACATCTGTCTTTTTTTAGATTAAACATATAAGTGAGATCATATAGTATTTTTCTTTCTCTTTCTGACTGACTTCACTTAGAATTATGATCTCCAGCTCCATCCATGGACCTCATTGCTCCCCTGCAAAGACACTGATACAATGTGCTCTTTAGCTATTGGTAGTTTTCCTCCACCTGCTCATATTTTGAGGTTCATGAGAATATCCTGTTCATCTAGAACAAAAATTTGAAAAAATAAATGTCAATCAAGAGGGAATTGGCTTTAACAATTAACGTAATATCATGTAGTTATTAATAAGATGACGTCAATGATGAATTTTCTATAACAATGTGGAAAGCAGTCCATAATGTATTGTTAAGTAGGAGAAGCAGCTTAAAAAGTTTTTATATTACGGTGTCATTTATACATTTTTTTAAAATATAAAAAATGCATGTGTGTGTATGTTACTGTAAAAGATGCCTAGAAAAAAAAAACACCCCACTGTTTATATGACAGTTTATTCAGGTACTAGTGAGGGAGAAGCTATTTCCACTTTACACATAGGGGTTGTACAGATAAGTAGTGATAAATTTTTTTACTGAGCTCAGGATAGCTTTTAGATCTGGTCATAAGGGGCTCCTGTCTTGGACCCTATGTGTTAGAGAGTCTGAAAATCACAAACACACAATGAAAGGTCAATTCATCAAAGAGCGTATGAGATTGGGTACCCATTCCTGACACAGAGCAGCCATCACGCTAAACACCCACACTGGTGACTGACACTATTCAGGCCACAGGACATGCTTCTCCACATCTCTTGCCCTTTGTCCTGGAAACAAGTGTGACTTTATTCAAACGCCATGAAGAATCTTGGGTTTTCCTGCTGCCAGCATCATGGAAGGATTACTTAGCAATACGAGAAGAATTTGAGCTGTGGAAGCATTTAGGTAAGAGAAAAGACAAATTAATTCATTTGTCAAATCCTTCCTCTTAAATGTTGTGAATGCTATAGATTCTTGCATAATAAAGCACGGCTTCCCAGGAGTGCTGAGCATCTATTTTCTTGCTTTCTTTGAGTTCTTTGAGTTTGTTTGTAGATCTATAAGTACTCATAGATGACTGCAGTCTGTGCAATAGTTACACATGGCAGCCAGAGAACATTTTGCAGTAGTAAACAATATTCTCCTTAAATTATTTTTATACATACTCTAGACATAACATGTTTGAGACATGAAGCATAATACCAATTTTTTTTGCATTAGCAACTGATGAATATTAAATGTAAGAATTACAAATAATTTTATGTCTATAAAAGATTTTATAAGATATAATTACATTTTAAAACTAAAATAAAAGCTAAACTTTATTTGAATAACGTTTGCTTAAATTTTAATGCTCATTATTATTTTTATTTTGTTGTTTAGTTTTAATAGATTATTTTGGATATTTTATTTTATTTTATTTTGGTTAAAAAAATTTTTTTAATTGAAGTATAGTCAGTTTACAATGTCATGTCGATTTCTGGTGTACAGCGTAGTGATTCAGTTACGTATATATATGTATATATTTTTTCATATTCTTTTTCATTATAGGCTATTACAAGGTATTGGATATAGCTCCCTGTGCTATTCAGTGGGACCTTGCTGTTTATCTATTTTATATATAAAATTGTTAGTATCTGCAAATCCTAAACTCCCAATTTATCTCTCCATCTCCCCTCCTTCCCCTGCCCCACAACCACAAGTTTGTTTTCTATGTCTGTGAGTCTGTTCTGTTTTGTAAATAAATTCATTTGTCCTATTTTATTAGATTCCACATGTAAGTGATATCATATGGTATTTTTCTTTCTCTTTCTGGCTTACTTCACTTAGTACAACGATCTCCAGGCCCACCCATGTTGCTGCAAATGGCATTATTTTATTCTATTACTTTAGAATGGCATTATTTTATTAGTATTCCATTGTATAAATACACCATATCTTCTTCATCCAGTCATCTGTTGATGGACATTTAGGTTGCTACCATTTCTTGGCTATTGTAAATAGTGCTGCTGTGAGCATTGGGGCCTGTATCTTTTTGAATTAGAGTTCCCTCCAGGTATATACCCAGAAGTGGGATTGCTGG